TCATTAATGTAATACGAGTAAATTCCAATTGGAACGCGACAAGACAATAATAATTTCTCCACCTCCCGGCATAGAGTGACTTCGGCGGGAGTGAGGAAAACCTGGTTGGATTTGTTGAAGAGGAGGCTTTGCTCCACGTTCAGCCTGAAAATTTCAAAGTAAAGGTAGTTTTTTTCTCTTTTCTGCGCCCATTAGAGTGTATACCGCTAAAATTGAAGTATTTTTTCATAGGAACGAGAGGGCTTTACCTGTGTAGCCATCTTATTCTTTCTCTCCTCTTTTTTATTAGCAAATGTCCCTCGTGAGGATAGGCGATTTTACAGGAGCACGCAAGTCTTTCCTTCCCTTTACTGTTCTACGTCAATAGAAAATACTAAGTGAAGCCGGTTCGCTCTCCCTCTGATCCTTCCAACTAAGTCATCCTCTTCCTTTGCCTCCACCAGTACATCGAATACTTTCAAAGGTGGGTTACTTCGGACATAGCCAAATGAACCACGCTAAAGTCGTCGATTATCTTGTACCATATCCTTCATTTCATTGCCTACGGTATTCGAAAAAGCTTTTAGTGCCGCCGCATTGAATGCTATTATCGGCCACTCTTCTAAAACAGAACTAAAGAAATAATGAGATACGGTAGAGAGCTTAGACCGGTAGAGGAGTTTAGTTTTCAATTGCCTACTCCGTCCAAAGTATTACCTGCTGACGTTGTTGTTGGGGTTGATGTTGATTCCTAGATAGACGAATAATAATTTGCTTCGTTTCCTTAGCCAATCTGAAAAAACCCCGAAGAGTTTCGTTGTGCGAGTCCTCGTTGGTTATCGAACGGCTTGGAGATGTCCTTACCAGGATTGTAGATTAGGCAGAGCGTGCTTTAGTCATGGATGCACACTCTCCCATCTATTAATATTCGTGATTATGACCGGGTAAAGAAACATTTTTGCTATCTTCTCACAGCAATTGAACAGGCTGGAGTAGTGTGCCCTCCATAAGCTCAATATACTCGTACTTTAAGCAGGGAAAATCGGATTGTATTTTTGACTTGAAACAATAGCTCCTCATGATAATGCAACGACCGTTCGGAGGCAGCTTGGACGCACACCACAAATTAGACGAGGAGCTCGAGTTCAAAATTTGTACGAAAAGACAAATGTTTTCCAAACCAAGGTCGACTCTTATAAAACACAGAGAGGTGATCTAGCAACTGATTTATGGAGGAAACCCTTTTACAGCCTGGTCAATAGTGATGAAAGTGCAACATTAGAAGATGGCTAACCCGATTCCTAAATCGGTGACAATGGAAAAAATGTTATATTGCCCGACTATGAAGTAGTTCTAATAGCAATCGCTCTCTTGAGCGACGGACACCGATGGATTGCCGACAGAGCTATTCAAATACGTCGGTGAAGAAGTTAAAAAGGTGCAGGCATCAGCTTCCTTGTTAAATATGGTTGAATGAAAGCATGCCCGATGAGTGGAACATAATTGCGCTCCACCCAATCTCAAAAAAAGGGTATTCCAATAAAAGGGGGAGCTGCACCAACTACCGTGGAATAAGTCTACTTGCAATTGGGTTGACAGTCACAACTTTGAAGGCGAACATAATTTCATCTATCTTGGAACCAGCATTAACGCCAAGAACAATGTGACTAACAACAAATCACATAAAATCTCAACACAGGTGCAGGACGGAGTAGGTAATTTAAATTGCGCTCTCGACCAACAAAGCACAAAGTTATCGTTCCCGTTGTTGTTGTTGTAACCGCAAATTACTCCCCGAATTGGTTTTCCTTCCTTGACCGGATAAAAATCCGGGTCGTTCCAGTATAAAGACCCGACCGTCGCGGGAAATATTGGATTTTACTCGCCTCTAACGACAGACATGCCTTACCACGGGTAAATTCTTGAGCCCCTAATCCGCAGGGTTTCCCGTCCTGCTATATGGTGTGGAGGCATGGACGGTGACAACATCTGATGAGTCGGCGTTAGGAGTTTTGAGAGAAAAGTTGTAGTCCTTTGCGAGTTGGGAACGACGAAAAACGGAGCCGATTGAACGATGTACGTACATACATACATACATATGTATATATGAAAGAGCTAAAAAAAAGGTTGAAGGAAAAAGTGTTTTTTTTTTTTGTCAAACATAAAGCAGATGAAGTGTCATTCACATTAATAAACTGTTGAAATCAAATACTCCGTGATATTTGTTTGTATGTAAGCAGATTGTGCAATGTGATAAATGTAACTTGAAACTTGCCACACGCCGCACGTTCGCTATTAATTATGGCGTTAACTCGATTGCCAATGCAAAGTGACATTTCGTTCGGGTTTCCTTTTTCACTGTTTCAGTATTCATTGCTTTTGGGTTTTTTGCTTGTGATGCTCACTGTCAAAACTAGTTGTAATGTTTTTGTTGTTTCAATTTGGTAAATAAACGCGGCTAAACATAACAACCAGAGCTTGTTTAGAAAACAAAATTTATTAGTTGCTCTTATTTGGACGCATGTTGCTGATTGGACGCGTAATCACATAATTTCTATGTGCAGTCTTATGTATGTATGTATATATGGCTGTATGTATGTATGGGAACCACCCGCACGAACTCGCTGACAAATGTAATTTTTCTGCTTTCATAATTTTCTCACCACATCGCACACCTATGTGAGTCAAGCATGCCAAAAATTGTATGATTGAATGTGTTTTTTGTCTGCAAGTGTGTGTGTGTGTGTGCGTGTGTGTGTAAGGAAGCATAGCTAATAAATGTTCGCAAAAGAGTTGGGCGGAAGTGTACGCCCACTTCCGCCGTGGGTGCTCGTGCGCCACAGGGCCGCATTGCATTGGCATTTTCCTTTCTGTCAAGCACACACACACACACATACACACATACATGCACACACACACTGCTGTCAAATGGTATCAAAGGAAACCTTGTAAATACCAAACAAGGAAATTCAAAACATGTTCATATACTGTTCCCGCTTATCATTGCAACAGTTGAGCAAAAACGAGTGACAGCATAGCCTGTGTGAATACCGCAACAACCACTGCAAAAACTGCAAAAACTGCACGTTGCACGTGTTGCATGATGGCATGGCAAGAGTCACGTGCCGGACACGTGTCGTGCGATAAGAGCGCATAGTACAACATCTACAGTACAGATCACCACAGAACACCAGCCGCAGCAGAAGTGGCATGGCATGGCATGTGGAACAGTACTCTCTGGCAGTTGTCTAAAGATTAGCGACATGTCATCTGCATCAATGCCTTGATATGAAGGGTCGGGCTGCTATGACTATGCGAAAATAGTATGCTTGCTCCGCATTCATGCACCTCGACTCTTTTGTAATCTAAATTTTCCAATCACAGGCAAGCACTCACTGAGTGGGCACGAAACACTCCCTGTGGACGTGGACTTGAAATCGTTGCTTACTTTGGATAAAGTACACTCCCAGCAAGAGATTATTTCATCTTAAACAGCAATCAGCGCATAGCCGGTGGCTGACACGCGACAGTTCTGTTTTGGACTGTTTTGGACAACAGTAAAGTGCCTTCGCACCTTCCGTTTTTTCACTTTTTTCCATTGATTCGTATTCTTCTTAAACAATCTACTCAATTAAATATTGGGTACACAATCTCCTATTGCTCTTTAAATTTATACAAACATAATTATGGCATTAAGTGATAAAGAAACTCTCCTGTCAGCAAAATCGTTTGTTTTGCATGACAATGTCATTCAATCTAAATTAAAAGCAAAGTCAATAAAGGCAAATTAACTCCGCCTCTAAGTAATTAATCTCAAAATTTTAGAAACTGGAGACGATTTAACAATTTTAAAACCGAGAGTATCGAAAAATCCCTCACATCCAGGTCCTTCTGCACCCGGTATTTCCAACGGAGTGAAGCTATTCCTCCAAAGCTCTGCTTTCACCGGTATCGAGAATTTTCTAAAGCTGTCGTATTTTCATTGCAAAAGGTCAGCGACCTGTATTGTTTAATATTTATTCCTCCAGTGAGAGGATTTCACTCTAAATTGCCTACTTCGTTCAAACACGCACCTGTTGGCAAGAGTGTTGTTTCTGCTTTGGATTTCAAGGCAACACATTATTTTTGTTGTTAATGCCAGGATAGGCGAAATTATGTAAAATTTCAAATGACTGTCGACAGTGAATGTGATGACAGTTTTGTTTAATGACTGGAAATATTTCTTTTGTCCCATATGCTTCGTTTCGTTATACAGTCTGCAGAAGGCAGAACTCACGTCGCGGACAATAAGGTTAATATCGCCAACAGCTGTACATTTTTATACATAGAAGATTGTACCTTCTCTAAAGAAGTCAAATGAAAAAGAATCGCCTTGTCTGAAACCTAGTTTGATATCCTCGAATAGGTCCTTCCCAATCCAGACGGAGCAAAAGCTTTAAAGATAATTGTGAAAAACTTGCTAGACCCAATGAATTATGTTCACGTCAAAGCACGCGGGTTACGGTTTTGAGTAATAGATTTTATTATGTAATAGATATTTTTAAAAGGCGTGATCATGATAGAACATGACGCTATTTCTATAGCTACATGTTGAAATATCAAATTCCAGAGATAAGCTTAAGTCGGAAACATACTCGCTTGGACAAAAACCATTCCTTAAATGGATTGCATTAGGCAAAAGAGTACTTAGTTTCAAAAAAATTTGGCTGAGTGTAGTGATAGAGACTACTTTTACGAGAACCGTGCACTCGGTAGATTGCTGCTTCAAATTTTTACGATGAAATTTCATCAAATTAAATGATCTGTTTGCTACGTTACACCATAACTCTATTAAATTACTTAACTGCTGTCGCCTTAATTAGGATATGCGGCAATGTAAGGGATTGTTTTTGAATATCATATATTAAATTGTTCACAAAATTTTACCGCAAGCAAATAGACATAATTTCTATATATTCTGAATACCCCTGTGGACTGTTTGAAGTCACAATCTATTACATTCTCTCTTTTGACATTTGCTTCACATTTATTTTCACATGTGTTTAGTTTCTGGTTGTTTTTCCAGTGGCTTGTAAATAATTTTAATAAATTCGCAATGTCGTCTTGGAAAAAAGCATCTAAAAGTAATCAAAAGGTGCATCGCGAACGGCATCAGCCAGAGGCACGTAAACATCTTGGTTTGCTCGAAAAGAAAAAAGATTACAAGAAAAGGGCCAACAATGAGCACCAAAAGGAACGTACATTGAAGCTGCTTCATAAGCGCGCCCTAAATAAAAATCCTGATGAATTCTACCATCATATGATCAATTCAAAGTTGGAGGATGACGTTCATCATGAGAAGGAAAAGGAACCGGATGAGCACAGCAAAGTACAAAAAGCGTTGATGGAAGTACAAGATGTGCAGTATGTGACAATGAAGCGCACAATGGAAACGAAAAAAATTCAAAGGCTACAATCACAACTACACATGATTGACTATGCGAATACTGTGAATAATAAACATACCTTCTTTGGTGAGGGCAAAGAGGGTGAAGTCGTCGAACTTGAATTAGATAAAATTGAATTAGCCAAACGACTCGAAACACATCCCAGTTTGCTCAATCGGAAAACGAACCGCCCTCGCATACAGGATTTAGAGAAAATGAAATTGCCAGAACTGTCACCAGAGGTTGGTTCACAAATTAAAGACTTCATCAAAATTTTATTTAAACTTTTGTTTATTCTCTCACAGGAAATAAGAAAGGCTAATGCGTTGAAGAAGCAATCATACCAAGAGCTCACCAAACGTATTGAGCGTGAAAAAGAGCTTGCTGTGGCTCAACAAAAATTGCAAATACGACGTGTGCTTAAGCAGCCAAGGCTACTGAAGCCCAAAAAAGTGAGAAAGGGAACAAAAACTGCACCACCAGTGTATCAATTTAAATATGAACGCAAAAAGTAATCAACTACAATTGAAATAATTATTGTAAAAAGTATATGCATAAAATAAATATATGTTTATAATACCGCAATATTTGCATATTTTTGTTTTGTTAAAATTGCTTTGCTATCTTTACTCTAAATAATGAGTAGAAATCAGCTGTTTGTTTATTATTTCCTGAATGTAAATTTTTTTGTCTGGCAACTAACTGTTTTGATCACAACAAATAGCGTGATAAACTAGCCGGTCACAACAAATGTTATAAACTGTCAAAAGCGTGTACAACGCACGTGTATTCAGTTAAAATTTTTTATTCGCTGCTATATTATCACTATAAAGTTTAAAAAAACAATTTTTATTTCGTAAAGAAAAAGAGTTAAATCCCAAAAATGGTTAAAAAGAAGATTGACAATCGCATACGCGTTATGATTGAAAATGGTGTCAAGTTGGGGCACCGTACTATGTTCATAATAATCGGTGACAAAGGCCGGGATCAGGTGCCCATACTCTACGATATTTTGACGAAATCGACAGTAAAGGCACGTCCTACTGTGTTGTGGTGTTACAAAAACAAAGATGATGCTATATCCAAGTAAGCTTTCGAACACTCTTCCTGAAATATCTATTCAATTAAATTATTTTTTCTTAGTCACGGCCGTAAGCGCGCTAAAAAAATTGCTGCTGGTAAAATTGATGTCAACGATGCTGATATGTTCGATACGTTTCGAGTATCCACAACTATTCACGGTCGTTACTACTCAGAAACGCATGCTGTTTTGGGTCGAACTTATGGTGTATGCGTTCTGCAGGATTTCGAAGCTCTTACACCAAATTTACTAGCGCGAACGGTGGAGACGGTTGAAGGTGGCGGTTTGATAATTTTATTGCTGAAGACACTACAATCGTTAAAACAGTTGTACACTATGAGTATGGATGTACACAAACGTTTTCGAACTGAGGCACATCAAACGGTCACTTGTCGTTTTAATGAGCGTTTAATACTCTCACTGGCGGATTGCAAACGCTGTCTTGTAGTCAACGATGACCTTACAGTGCTACCCCTGAGTTCTAAAACTATTAACGTGGAACCAGTCAATGTTAGTGTTTATAAGAGTTTTTTTTTAATTTTTTTGTATTGATTTATGTATTTTTTATAATTGCAGCCCGCCGATGTTGGGAAATCCGAGAACTCGGAGATGTTGCAAGAGTTAAAGGAAAGTTTACGTGATACACCACCAGCTGGACCACTGGTGAATCAGTGTCGTACATACGACCAAGCACGCGCTGTTGCGCAGTTTATTGAAGCGTTAGCAGAAAAGCAATTGAAGTATAGAACTATATCTCTTTGGTTTATAAATGAATTGCTAATTATATGAATTTCAGGCCACCCACAACATTAACGGCAGCACGTGGTCGTGGTAAATCAGCCGCGATGGGTCTATCTATTGCCGCTGCAGTAGCATTTGGTTATGTTAACGTATATGTGACTTCTCCACATCCGGAAAATTTAATCACACTCTTTGAATTTGTACTCAAAGGTTTTGATGCGCTGGAATATCAGGAACATGCTGATTACACTATTATACGTTCCACCAATCCAGATTACAAAAAAGCTATCATTCGCATTAACATAACACGTTCCAATCGTCAGACCATACAATATATTGCGCCTACGGATACACACTTGTTGAATGCTGCTGATCTGTTAGTAATTGATGAAGCTGCCGCTATACCCTTACCGTTAGTCAAGAAAATGATGGGTCCATATTTAATATTCATGGCATCTACCATAAATGGTTATGAAGGCACAGGACGGTCACTGAGTTTAAAGCTGATGTCACAACTACAAAAGGATAATAATGCACCACCACCAGTAAGTACATTTGTAAAATTTTCATAATGTCTCTTATCAAAAGTTTTGTAATTTCCCAGATAAAACTCGAAGAGTCCATACGTTATAGCGAAGGTGACGATATTGAGGCATGGTTAATCAACTTGTTGTGCCTAGATGCCACTACTGTACCGAATATTAGTTCCGGTTGCCCAACACCAGATTCTTGCGATCTCTACTATATCGATCGTGATGCTTTGTTTTCATACCACAAAGCGGCAGAATCTTTTCTCCATCGTTTAGTTTCTATATACGTAGCTTCTCATTATAAAAACAGTCCTAATGATTTGCAAATGATGAGCGATGCTCCAGCGCATCACATATTCTGCCTACTTGGGCCAATACAGCGTAAAGATCAATTACCGGAGATATTAGTTGTTGTACAAGTAGCATTAGAAGGTCAAATTTCTTCACAAACAGTAAGTGATTCATTAGGACGGGGTAGAAAGGCAAGTGGTGATCTCATCCCATGGAATATTTCTGAACAATTTGGTGATCGGGAATTCCCCAATTTGTCTGGCGTACGTGTGGTTAGAATTGCAACTCATCCAAATTATCAACGGGTAAACATACCGAAGATCTACATACGATAATATTGATATATTTTTCACAAAATTTCTCTTTCAACTTTCAGATGGGTTATGGTAAACGTGCAATAAAATTGTTGCGTGACTATTATCAAGGCAAATTTACAGACTTGAGTGAAAATCCACAGGATGACGAAAATGGTAATGATAGGCTGCAATCAATATAAGATCCAATCCAATTTGCAATATATTTTCTTTGTAGGCATAGAAGAAGTTGAAGAAGAACAATTGGGTATACTCAAAGAACAAATTCGGCCTCGTCGTAAAATACCTACATTACTGAAACGCTTGAATGAACGCATACCAGAACACATCGACTATTTGGGGACATCTTATGGTTTAACACAAGAGTTACTCAAATTTTGGAAAAATTTAGGATTTGTGCCTGTTTATGTTAGGTATGAATGCTGTATGAACTTTTAAAGAAAACTATTCAATATTTTGTTTTAAATGTTTTTCCCTTACACAGTCAAAAGGCGAATGACCTTACCGGCGAACATTCATGTATTATGTTACATACCCTAGATAAGGCAAGCGCAACACCAGAGAAAAAATGCGCCGAGTGGCTGAGTTTATATTTCAATGATTTCAGAAGACGAATCATTAAACTGCTGAGTAAAACTTTCCGTGAATTCACTACTAGTTTGGCATTATCCATTATCGATAATAAATGGACAAAGATTGAACAGAAAGGTAATTACTCCTTTTTAGAATGTGTATAATATAATGTATGTATATAACATTTATTTTCGGCTTACAGCTCTTGACAAACATACGCTTGATGTTTACTTTTTACCGCACGATATTGAGCGCTTGGAATCGTATTCTCGTAACCAAATCGAGTATCGTTTGATATTAGATTTGATAAACGATATAAGTTATTTATATTTTCAAGGTAAAATGCCTGAACTGCAAATAGATACTTTGCAAAAGGTAAGAAAATACATATATATGTATATTATTCAATTTAAAACCTTTGTTATTTTGTCTTAATTTCTCAGGCTATTTTACTCGCTATTGGCGTGCAAGGAAAAACGGTTGATGGTATCGCTGCAGAACTGAACATGCCTGGAAATCAGGTTTTAGCTAAATTTTATGATATGGTTAAGAAGTCCTCCAAATATATGCTTGCCGTTATCGAGGGACACATTGAGAGCAAAATGAAGAGTGAAACACAGCTCAATCGTGGCGAGGACTTTGTGCCAGTATCACTTTCACTTAATGATGAATTAGAAGAGACTGCGCAGCAATTATCTAAGAAACAGAAAGAAGAGCTGAAAAAACTGAAAATGGAAAGTTTAAAAGAATATGCAATTAAGGGCACCGATGAAGATTGGTCAAAGGCTTTGACAAATTCGGATGATAAAACCAAGCTAGTATCCGTCAAAAGGTACTATTTTTACTGATTTAGCTAGGTGTAAGTAAAAATTTTTTTAACCGATTTTCTTTCAATTCACAGCGGTGTCAAACGCCTTGATGATACAATAGATGTGAGCAATCCCAAAGAGATGCCCGAAAAGAAGAAAGTAAAGCTTAGCAAAAAGACAAAAGCTTCTATGAAGTCTCTCATTTAATTTCAAGACGAAAAAGTAGTATTGATTTTTACTGACAAAAATAAAAGTTATATACCTTAATTTTCGGTCGTTTATTTAATTCCGCTTTATTTATTGAATAAGTTCTCATTGACTATTGCCTTGAAAATTTTATCTGACAGTGTGGAAAAACTCTTTACCATCAATGCTGCACGATTTTCTACATTTAATCTGCAATAAAGGTTAGTTAATGGGTTATAATTTATTAATATACACGTATGTATGATATAAGTGCATACCTGGAAAATATAATCGGAACCACATTTGCCCTATAGAAGTTTTTAAAACTTTAAATAACCTAATTTTTAAGCACTTCCTTGCTTTTCGATGGCCTTTTGGCGTTCTAACAATCTTCGCTCACGTTCAAACTCCTTCATTCGCAGCATATAGTCCTCATATTCGCATGTGAGATAATCGTGTTTCTCATGGTGGCATTTGTACACAAAAGGAAAGGTATCAGCGCGACAGGCGCGGTATTTAAGCAATTTGTGTGCACAGTAGTCACGATCCTCTAATGGTAGTTTTGCCGATACCATCTCTTCTTCGGTAGCAATCATGACACGCTCCTTGCGAGACTCAAAGCCCAACATTGGGTCAAATGAAGGCACACAATCAGGTCCCGGCATTACATCCGGTTTAATGGCACGTGCGTAAGCATTACCCATTCTGTTCTTGCTTTATCCCCTTAGCTGTTATAAGAGTAAAATTAATATTCTTTAAGAAAATTATAATTTTATAAACAAATTACGTAAATACGACAATTAGTGGCCTATTCCTTCGTTACTTGCTGCACGCGAAATGTCAAATTTGACAACCAAATAAGCTCTTAATTGTAATAGATTATTAGTTAATAACATAAGTACGGCAACGTTTAAATGTCAACATCAACGGCGGTAAAATTTGACAGATTTTAAAATTGAAATTAACAATTTTTGTGGCTGCCAAAGAAACCTGTTGGACCTACTAATTATAAGTAACAACAAAATTTTAAGCATTTTAATTCATTTATTTAAAGCGATGGACACACCACGACGCGTTACACGCAACATGCATTTACAAAATTTGCAAAAGTTTAGCACACCGCTGCGTATACCGCCATCGCCATTTATGAAGAATCTCGGTTATGGTACAGGCGTAAATGTCTACAAATTAGAACGTTCGCCGAAATGTGGCCAAGTACGCTCACCTTGGGCTGTGAAACGTGTGTCGCAAAGGATGCGTAATAATGAAAATGCCAATATCTTTAACACACGCATACAGGAGGAAGCAGAAATTTTGAGGTGAACATTGTGTTTTTCTTATTTTGTAATATGTATTTACATTTGAATATAAAATTTAATTGTTAAAAAATTTATAGAAAACTAAAGCATCCTAATATTGTGGGTTTCCGTGGTATTATCAAAAATACAGACGGTGTTGAAACATTGGCGCTTGAATGTTGCAAAACTTCGTTAGGAACTATATTAGAAGATCGCAATGATGATAACCTTGGACCTCTACCCGCAAAATACATTTTTAAAATGATTACTGATGTATCTAATGCTCTAGATTATTTACATACTGAAGCCAATTTATTGCATGGTGATTTGAAATCGTTCAATGTGCTGGTGAAAGGTGATTTTGAAATTTGTAAATTGTGCGACTTTGGCGTGAGTTTACCACTAGATGATAAAGGATTGATAGATTTCGCTAAAAATCCGAAATTACGTTATGTTGGTAAGAAGATACAATCTCTATTTCATGAAAAACAAATCTTTCAACTATTTTTTCCAGGCACTAATCTTTGGTCAGCACCTGAAATAATGGATGAGTTGGAAGTAATTGATTGTAAAGCAGACATTTTTAGTTTTGGATTAATCATCTATGAAACAATTGCCTTGGCACCACCACACACTTTAGATATAGGTGATGAAAAAGCCGATGACGAGCCTAATACCGATAAATCCATCGAAAATTGTTCTCTTATAGATTCGGATTTTGATGAGCGCACAGATCGTGCTTGTGGTACACGTCCACCGTTGCCTCAAGCATTTGAATTAACAGATGATTATAATATAATAATGGAAATATTTTATTGTTGTACAAATGAATTAGCAGAAGACAGACCAACAGCAAAAACAATAACGACTATGTTGCAAAGTGACGAGGATAGTTTTCTTGAAAAAGAAAGTCTCAAAAGTACTGCTTAAAATATGGCACAAGCAGGAAATATAAAAATTTAAGTTTTATTTTAACATAACCTAGATCTGGAATTGGTAATAATAATACTAGTAAACTTATCAAGTTACTACAACTACGTAAATTCACTTATGTCGCTCAATTGTGGATTTGCTTTAACGAAATTATACATTAACAACAATACATAATATTATGCAAAAAGATTATAGCAAGTAAATAAAAACAATAAACCCAGAAATATATCATGGCCAAATAATATATATCTATTATTTCATCATGGGAATATTCACTCTGTTGCAATATTATAAGACCGATCAAAAATTGATTTTTTTTTACTGATAACCAGTGAGTATTTTAAAGAACATTAAGTAACATGAGCATTCGGAGCTGTGTTACTGTGAAAACAAAATGTGAGACCTAACTGTAAAACTTTCGATAGTAAAAGAGAAAACGAGTTAAACACGTGTTGCGGATTATAAGACTGTTGAGTTTTCATTCAATTTGGTGTGATTTTAATAAGAAGACGCGTTTGATGTTTTTGTTTTAATAAATCATTTGTTGCCCTTTTCCTTCTATTAGTTCAATAATCCTCTTATTCATACTTAAAACTTATTTTTTAATAGCGCAGCTTCTAAATTTCCCCATTCTTCGATTATGGCCGATTTTATTTCGTCTACTGTTTTAAACTCTTGTTTCCTCACTTACATGAATGGTCGCATTATCTTGTTGGATAACCCAACTTTTTCCTGGCTCAGAAGCTAGGAACGGTATCAGACTGCTTTGCAAGACAGCTATTTAGTCACTACTGTTCATTCTGTTTTAGTAGAGCCGCACCTCCAGTTGTGGAGGAAATCGCTCCCCACACCATTACATTTCCTCCACCAAAATTTCGTTTTGAAAAATAGAGCGGCTCTTTTCTTATGTCATGCCAGTAACCGTTAAAGCAATCTGACCCATCAAAGTTGAATTTTTTTCATCAAAAAAAAATTACCTGGAACCAAATTCTGTTTAAACCAATCAGTCCCTCAACAGCTAAAATCATGCCCCCACCGGATAACAATTGCCAAAGCCAACCATAATTGCAGCGGCTGGCTTGATAAACAGCATAATTTAGCACCTCAGATTGGCCCTCGAATTAGATAATTGATTTTAATTGCTATATCGATTTTGTTGGCCTCCCCAAAACAGTCGTGACCGCTCTTTTCATCTCAACAGGTCTCTGCTGAAGCAACCACTGTCAAATTTGTCGAGATGCGATCGAGAGGAGAACCCGAAGAAGTGTGCGAGCTGTTTTAACCGACAGCAACCTTCGGTTGACAAACTAAAACACTGTACCACAACTGGACCTGTCAAATGCATTTGACACAATCAATCATACAGACGATGAGAGATCCTCACTACGGCCGAGTTTGAAGAAGTCAGCCAAGAATTACCTAAGCGGCCGACAGTCATCTGTAAAGTCTCGAAGTCAAAACTCAATACTCTCCAATGAAAATGAAATTTGTATATTTCGAAACTTTTTTGACTGCACGCTATATATATGCGTCTGAGAAGGATCCACAGATACCCTCATCACTAGTTGGGCAAAGGAGTACCGACTCGAACCAAATGTACGACGATGTCACTGTAGGTCACATTCAGCAGCCTACACTGCGGATGCAACTGTGATTATCAACGCAGACGCATACGCATCAAAATAAAAACGCTAAACAGAAGCAAGTGCAAAGATAATCGATCGATTTGCACACCAGAAACTAGAAGAAATCTACTAACGTCAAGTGAAACAAGTTAAGCATCTATCGAGCAGGCATCTACTGGAAGCCGAACCATCACCCAGGCACTTCAGGAAATTAGCACTCGACCTAAAGAACTTCATTTTGCACGTCTTTAGACTGTGTTGGGCAAGCTGCTACATTAACCATAACAATTCAACGTAAGGTAAATACTAGGCTCAACGAGTCCTTACCACCTCTTCGTATGTTCACTTAAATCGAATGAAATCTGTTCAGCTAACAATCCCTATGTTTATTTCAATTGCAATTATATTTCTGTTTGTAGTTATCTTCATGGCTCGTACATATACATACATATAAATGGACATAATTAGGGACGAACATTACAGATGGCGATAACGAATAGTCGGGGTTGAGGCTATTTTAGCTTGTTAAGAAGTTCTTTTATAGCAGCAGGTCAACACCCACTTCACCAGACAGCTATGTATATATAGCATTAAGCATTAGAATTCAGTTCAGTTTCATTTTAACAGTGTTGGCTTAAAGAGAAATAGAAAATAAATAACAGAAGAGCGGTCCCGCTTTTAAAATCCCCTTAGACAAAATGTTAAAAATATGTATTGCTTTCGGACAAGCTTTTAAAGACGCGGCCATGGAATATACGAGAAACACTAGCCTCGGTGGATTTAATTTGCTTTACTATATACGTCGAAAGAAATATCAGCGGTAAAACGAGTTGTTGTTAATTAAAATAACACATGGGTAGTTTTAATTTTACACCGAGACCTTATCTACAAGGTTTCAGCAAACCAGATACACAATTTTTCAAGCTACACCGTTAGGAGCAATTATAAAGTAGAGAATCGCAGCCTTCTAGTATGACCGAAATCCTATTGTAATAACACTTTATTCCGTACTATTTCTTTTCTTTAGACTTTTCTGGATCTTCTTCCTTATCGCCGGCATTATTGGCGCTACGTATATCACTTTTGAGAGTATTAATAACATTTTTGAACGACCTATCGTCACCACTTTGGAGTCGAATCAGTATAGTATCAAGAAAGTTCCGTTTCCGGCTGTAGCCATTTGCAGCGCCAACAAATTGAGTCGAAGTGCACTAAATGATTTTGTAGAGGAAATGTAAGTCCGGTTAACGCGCATTAACAGTCAAAAATGTGCATTTAAATTTTCATAATTATTTGTTACTTTTTTTTTTTTTTAGGCGTCACAAACACAATCCACCACTCTCTCACGAAAAGTTTCTACAGAAAATGAAATTATTTGCTGGACTCTTCGACAGCGGTTCGGTCGACTCTAAGGAAGCTGTCACATTTCAAAAAGAGTTTTTAGACAAACAAAATATTAATATAACAGAAACTTTAAGAAAGGTATGTATTATATAATATATATATATAACAGTTAGCAAATTCTCAAATGTTGAAGAGAGAAGCATTCATTTCATGTCAAAACACACTCCCGGAGAGCTTGACATTCCCTATCGAGGGGTGACCGCAATTATGAGAACTACTACTAAGTTTCTTTAACTCTGAATGTCGGCCTTCCGAAGGTTAGTACGCAACGCTAACCACTAACTTAAAACGTTTGCCGATTGACAGCTTCAGTAATACCCAAAATCTTTGCTTGGTAGCCAGAGTTATAGTTATTGCGCTTCAATCTACTGTTTTAATTTAAAACCACTGATATCTTCTCTATTACGGACGACCTTCCCTTCCCTGTTCTAATCTGTTATAACGTTCTGTATACTGTCATGTCTGCACTGTACTGTACCCAGTTTATAAGAGCTTTTAGACGCTTTTAGACGGCTAACTATTGTTGCTGGTTCAGACTCCATTTGTAAATTGATTAGCTGGATGTCGAGTACGACTAACAAGATCTTCGTTGAGATAGTTCTCAAAGTGCCTTAAATACCCAGTATGGGTATCAGAACACTTTTGTAGAGCCAATACACCATTTGGGCTCGCAGCACCCATTTCAGCGCAATGGAACTTCCATTTAAGGATGATGTCTAGAAAATCGTAAATACCTTCTCGTAGCTTCGAACTGTGTTTTCTTCACTATGCAATCATAAGTAGAACCGGTTCTACCTTATCAGTCCAGATAAATGTACTATGTAATATCTAAAAGTTAGAAAAAATTAATTTAAATAAAAAATTAACAAAATTTCTAAACGCGGTTACCCCTCGGCAGGGAATGTCAAGCCCTCCGTGTGTATTTCTGACATGAAATAAAGCTCCTCATTAAAAAAAACCCATCAGCCGTTCGGAGGCGGCTTAGTATAAACTATAGATCCCCCTATGTGTTGAAAAAACAACAAAGACGCAAAAAACCCCAAATTGGGTGCGGAGCTCGACGGAAAATTGCTTCACCGGTTACAAAGCGTCAAAAAAAAAAAGAAAAAATAAATGTACTGAACCAAATAGACTATGTAGTTCCATAATCTTCGAAGAATCTCCTGAAAAAGAATTGTGGCTAATTAATTTCAAAACGCTGTGTATTTTTTATTTTCAGTTGGCGCCCAAATGTGAAGATCTCATACTGAAGTGTCGTTGGGCAACCAAGTTACATGAGTGCGAAACTCTTTTCTCCCAGCGTTTCACTGCTAATGGGTACTGTTGTACTTTCAACTATATTCGTACAAGCGAAGACAAAACGTGAGATATATGCTTGAACACGATGCGAGATCGTAATAAGACTGCATATTTTTTTTCTTAGCCTCGACAAACTGAAATACCCAATCGGTCACGGCTTTATGAAAGGTCTAACATTACTTTTAAATACGTCTACACGAGATTACTTCATAACAGATCGGAGTTTCTTCGGCTTTACCCTGCAAATTTTCAACTATGGCGACTTTCCTGATAGTTCGATCGGCAGTAGTGTACAGGAGGCCTTTATACCACAAGGCAGTGAGATTATGCTGAAACTAAGCGCCATTTTACAATCAGCCACCAGCGAGTTGAGCATGTATAACATAGACCAGAGACGTTGCATAATGTTTGGGGAAATCGTGGGTGGTTATAATAAAGGTTATAGTAGAGACGCTTGTATGACACGATGTAAGTCTCGGAACATGATGCTTATTTGCGGTTGTGTACCGTATTATACGCCTTCGGATTTTTTTAATACCCATGAGGGCAATATTACCTATTGTACGCTCTCCCATTTGGAATGTTTAAAGCAGAATCGAGGCAAATAAAAATAATAAAAATTGATTGCACATTCTTTACATGCACTGTTAAATGTAATATATTTTCCATTTTTTTTACAGCTATTCTAAACACGTACAGTCTCTTTGGGGGTGGCCTATTTACGCCCCAGTCGAATCTCTCTCTGGACTGCCCAGCATGTTTACCGCTTTGTAATTTTAATTTCTATGTTTTTCGCAAAGTTATCAGCTCACTCAAGGATACTCATTTACTTTGGGAAAACAAGCAATTTCTCAAACTAATTAGCAATGAACAAATTAACGGTGAACAATTGAATTTTTCTTACGAAGCTCTGTAAGTATTTCTGTGTAATCCACAGCGAAAAAATGTTATACACTCCATTTTATAATTTATCCAATTCTCAAAAGAACCACGTTGATGAGGAACACAGAGGATCTAAGTCTCGTTAGAATCTTTTTCGATTCTCCTTACGCTGTCCGGTTTTCGAAGCAATCCCTGTACAGCTGGTATGAAATTTTATGTAAGTAAGTTGTCTGAGTGCTAATAGCTCTGTTCGGTGAGGAATGTCAGTAAGAGTTAGCCGATAATGCCATTCTAAAATTTTGCTTTCCCGGCGCAAATTTTACTGGCTGTTTAACTCGCCGAACTCGGCTCAGTAAAAATTGGTCCATCAGCTCACCGAGCACGACTAACATCCGTTTTCCTTACAGCAATAATTGGCGGCATTATTGGCATTTTTATGGGTGGTTCGCTCATTAGTGCAATTGAAGTTATTTACTTTTTCGTCTTAAAATTTGTGAATAATTTTCGTAGAATTTATCAAATAAAATAAAGATAATATAAACCTACTTAAACCTGTAATAAATCAAGAAATTGTACTACTCAATAATACGACAGTGCTTATAAATTTATAAATTTTGTTGCTTCAGTGGAGCCACGCCGGCATATTCGATTGTAGGGGTCGCTGAAGTAGAGCGGCTTCGAGCGAGCGTCGGTCTTAACACAAACGCCAACGGCTTGTTATATAAATGTGTCCCAACAACAGCTTGGACTCGCCAATTAGAAAAAAGCTCCAAAGACAAAATAATCGGAAAAAAACTACCGATTTCGATGACGACCGCTGCCGAAGGTTATGATTTGGGAACATGCACCGGGAATGTGCGGTTCCTAAGCTAGTTGAAGTTCTTTTACAAATTGAGGTTGACATCACCCACTTCAAGGGACAACAAAGACACAAAAAAGAAGTCAAATGACTTGTAATACAGCGGTCTTATGTATGAGCAATCCGGGGAATTGACATACACACCGGTGATTGAGGAGTACGATGTAGCAAAAGATGCTTTCTTAAAGTGTCCAGAACGCACATACATACGAGCGCAACGCCATCAATTTCGCTGGAGCTCGAAATATGATGCTCTGTAGAATACGATCCGGCCACAAGAAAATTCATCAAGCTGCCGTCGGATTCAAAATCTCGCAACCAAACCGATAATGTTGTGATGGGTGTAAGTTCGAAATACCTAAAATCGACTCGGATCACAATCTCGTTGCAACAAAAACACGCACTAGCTTCTGTGCAGCAGGAAAAGCCCGACATGGCAGTAGCTTGAAAATTCTATGAAAAATTGATGCGTCTCATGTAGAAACCAAAGGCGTAAGTAAATGCCCGAGGTCCATAGCATACTGAGTTGAAAAAGGAAGCCTTCTCTTAACCACTAAGTGTCAGTGAAAATGTGACTCTCGAAGATGGTGAGCTCGAATGCCCCAATCAATGACGGTAGAATAGACAATCTGTTCTCCAACTATGACGTAGCTCGAAAAAAGATTTCTGGGTTGAAGAATATCAAGGCAGCGGATAATATTGACATCATTGAAATCAACTTTCTCCAAAAACGAGCTTAAAGTTTCGCTTACCGCTTTCAAAAGCTCTGACGCGTCGTTACAGTTGCGGGTATCTTCGAAAATAACCGTCTGATCGGCTTGAAATTTTCAAAGTATTCACGGGTATTACAGAAACAGATTGTTGTCGGAATCAGAATTTGAACGGACAAAATTCTGCTGAAGAGGTTACACATTCCGATATGCAAACGGTTTCATTTTCGAAACAGAATTTGTGTCGATTTTAAGTGTTGCAAAAACCGATTTATCGGTTTAAATGTCAGAATTAAATCGAGCAGTAACTCGTAGACAAAATTGTGTGCAAGCAGAGATTTAATAATAAATTTAGGTCATGAATAATGGATTTTACAACCAGCAATGCCTGGAACATGGAACATGATGTAAAAATGGACGCGAGCTCTTCGCTTCCCATTGTCGTTTGTTCCTGAAAGCGTGGGCCTGGGGAAATCAAATGTTCAAAAGCCTTTAACATTTCCGTTATAAACACCGAGACTGTGGGTCGCGCTAAGGAGATATTTGAGTTCCACAAACTGTTAATAGGAGCCTTCTGCCAAAAACCGCAGCGTGACTGCAAGTTGGAGCACATGTGGGATAGATAGCCTATCTAACTGGTCTTCAATGACATCCAGCACTATTACAAAGTCTTCATTGTTAAGCCGATATTGGTCTATGATTCTACATACAAACAAATTGTGTATCAACAAATGTAAAAGTAGAATGCAAATTGTACTAAAATCGATTTTGGCAGCTCCAGCGAATCGCGCTTTATTTTCTGGATTATTTCTCGATGTACTTCTATCATCCCAAATGCTAACTCTGCCGAAGTAATTTAATTTTTAAAAATTAAATTGAATTGCTTTTTTTTTTTTTGCACAAATGTAATTACAGCTGATTCGAATAACGGTTTTGCTTATCTTCGAAAAAAGCAAAATCAAGTCGGTTTCATAGCACCATTTCAAACAGATATTGATTTTCAATTCCGATAAATAAGCAATTCTGTGTCGGTTTCTATCTATAACACCACCGATTTACTTAAATACATATACATTTCGAAAATGAAATTTGAAATTAAAAAAAAAACGATTTTTTGAAAATTCTAACGAGATGCAACCCTTTAATTCCTACATATCAAGGCTTGAATTCAACATACCCAACATATGTCCTGCATCCAATGAGACATTTGATCTCTCAATGAGTATGACCTCTTTACATAACCCCTAAAACCTACTCTTCTAACACGCCTTTCCCTCTGGTGCCAACAGCCTGCCTCACCTGCTCTGCCATCAAACCTTTTGGTTGTTGTTGTTGTTGTTGATGTAACCACAAATAATTTTCCGAATTGGTTTGCGGGGAATATTGCGGGAGTGACATTCCTTGGCTGGATAAAAATCCGGGTCTTTCCGGTATAAAGACCCGACTGTCGCGGGAACTTTTGTATTTTAGTCGCCTCTTATGACAGACATACCTTACCGCGGGTAAATTCTTGAGCGCCTAACCCGCGGGTTAGGGTCTTCATAACTGGTTGACAACCATAACTTTGAACTTTCGTGTCTGCCCAGCGTGCTCTGGTCATAAATGAAACAAAGTAATCGAGTCACTATTTTTGTCCCCAAGGGCTTTATTAAACAAAAAGTAAAGTTCTACTAGAAGTAAATTATACATTAATGTTATATTTGTATACATATGTATGTATATGTGTATGATGTATGGATGCATTTCATTTTCTATACTTTTTGCCAACTTTCGATTTCGAATAATGTATGCATGTTATTAGCACGCAGCTCAAAAATTTCCTTTTTTCGTTTATAAAACAAATTTTTTTTTTTTTTTTTTTGCATTTTGCATAGAAGATTTGATCTAAAATATGGATGTTATTTTTAGCGGAACAGTTAATAATTATTTTTTGCATGTTTTCATATTTTCTTTTTTCATCTATTTGTAAAAACCATTGCTTTTGAAGGCATAAATTGACAAGTCTTTTGGGTGTTTTTTTTTAGTTTATTTAGGATATTTTACAATTTCTTTTTAGTTAGTAGTATTTGCAAAAGTTTAAAAGTTATTTGTGTAATGTATGCAACTAACTACTAGTGGACGAGCGTAAAATAGGACTGTACTGTTTAATCTTATTGTATATATGTATGTATATATATAGGACGTATATAGTATTGTATAAGTACTTTAATTTACTAATAGACTATAAGACACATGCAAATTGTTATTTCGCTTTAATTTAGTATACTGTTTGCTTTTCCTCAATATTTTAATTTTTTTTTTAATAAATAAATTGTTTGAAGGCCATTGAGCTAAAAAGTTTTGTTTTTTTTTTAGAAAAAATGTTGTTTGATTCAATGTAAGAGGTATGTAAATACCTAAGTGCTAAAAAAATAGTATGTACGTTAAGGATTTTTATATTGAGCAATACTATTTTTGCGGAAATTCCACTTTTTTTATGAATTTCTTGGCATATTTTCTTATTTCTGAATGAGCTACCGATTATTATTGAATGCATGTACTTTAGAATATATACAAGTATAAGCTTTTAATCTCGTTTTTCAAATAATTTGCAATATGTACTATTTTCAAGCGTCACGAATACTAGCCCGATGGATTCGTGCTCTTCGTAGAATTTTAAGGTCCTGCTCATTGCATTTTACTTATGATTTTTGTGGAAAACAAATAGAATAGCAACAAATATACATATAATTAAACACTCGTTTGTGACTTTTTCGATAAACGTAATTTTTTTTTAACCGTAAATTGAGTATATTGGGAAAAATGCAAATAAAACTGACAACAGCAATATTGTGTTCAACATAAAATGCATCACGAATGAGGTGTAGTGCTTTGAATCAGCAGTTGAAACGGTATGGTAATATGTATTATTTTTGTATTTAAAAAATATTTACATATGCATGTATGCATCCAGACAAGAGTTACTAGAATAATGATTTTTGTAAGCTTTTAGTTAAAAAAAAATGTAATATTTATAATAATATACATTGTACATCAAGGAAACAACTTTTCCCACCTACAATGCAAACCAAATGTTTCTTTACACAAATTACATAGAATCACAAAGTTTCTTTATGGAATGTAAAAGTTGTTAGTAGCTGCTTTGTTTGCACTGTCCGCTAATATGTATGTAATTTTGATTGGATTGTAAAAAAAAAACAGATAAAACTTTAAAAAAAATTACCGACAATTTAACACCAAATGAAATGTACACTGTGCATATGTTTATGTAAATATTAAAGTAAATAGACAACTACAATACAACATAATTTAAAAAAATATTATTAACAATACAAGTGTGTGTGTGTGTTTTTTCTCTCTGTAATACAAATACGATTTCGCAGATATGTAAAGTTTTATGTGTGTGTATGTATGTGCCTAATAATACAGTATTTTTAGTTTAAAATGCGATGGCTTAACTAATTTCTAAACAATAATTGATAACGAATACGGACGCGCAATTGCCAAACGCACTAAAAACTTTAAGTTTACACATTAATTCATATTTATGTACGAATATAAATAGTACTAGTTGTAGAATGTATGTAGAAATAAAACGTGAATTATGAAAATTTGTGTGTGTCTTTTTTGTTATGCCTAAGATATCTTAGTTATTTGTAGACTTGGAAACTCTTCATCTCTATGTATATGTATATGTCTTTTACGCTTTTGTTCTCTTTGAAAGTTTCCATTGACCATTGCCGTAACATTCGTTAATGTCTTCGCGCTTTTAATTTGAATTTTTTTTTGTTATTTTATTTATTTTTTTATTGCTTTTGTTAACGAATCAAAGATGTAATACACCATCTTTTGACTCATTGCCACCCACAACAGTTGAAGCTGTTGATGCTGTTTGGTGATGTTGTGAAGTGATTATTAATGCTGGCGAAGGCACCGTTGACTGTTGCTGTTGTTGTAAGTGTGGTTGTTGTGTAGTGACATTATTGTGATCATCGAGTGTTACTCCAGTCAAATCCACAATTTCGTCTTGTTCATCTTGTTCATTTTCATCCGATGTGTTAGTTTGATTTGTATGATGCGAACCACTCGATAGTTGACTGTTGCGGGAGAATGAGCCGCGGCGTGGTGTGGTTAGTGTACGTTGATTTGCCGGTTTAACAGTAATGATCAGATTAGAACTATTGGCAACCATCATATCGGTGACCTATATATTATGATTTTTTTATTTTTATTTATATATTCGTTTATATATTGATTTCTCTAATATAACAGTGTAAAAATAATATTACCTGATCTAGAGTTTTTCCAGCTACTTCAATACCATTTACTTCAATAACCTCATCGTTGACTGCTAGAAGTCCAGTGCTCTCGGCAAGTCCACCAGGGACTAGGCGTGAAATGAAAATACCAGGTTGTTTTTCCAAACCGTTTGTTGTTACGCGCACTGACGTACCATCTCTGTATAAGGAAATATTAGAATATACATCATATCATTTAGAAATTCGAAGAAATAACATAGAAGATATTTCGCTTTATAATCCGCCCACTATATTTGGCGTCAACATACATACATACCTTATATAAAATCCCAAAGGTTTATCGCTGCCATATTTTAGTAAGCGTACGCGTCGATGTGTTTCCGGTACAATATCCACATCAATTATAGCTGATACCTGACGGAAATCATGCGGTATTGAAATTGTTGGCAACTTTGTTTTTACTGGTGTCTGACCAAGTATGCTGCTGATTAGATTATTTCGTGGCTTCATCGTGCCAAAACCGGGAAACTCCTCCAAATCATCTAAACCAAACCAAGCAAAGTAATACATTTGTATATGTTTTTCTATTACGGTCACTCACCTTTGCGTTGCACGATGATTCGCAATAGCGGTCTTGCTATTTTCAATGCCCTGCCAAAATTATCGTCATTATTAATTGGTAACAGATCGTTGTCCCTTGGGTCTATATATAATATAATAAATTGTATTGTGTGCAGTCTATGCAATTTCTCAATAAGCGCTGAAAAATCTTCAAAATTTTGTAAATCGCCATGTCGTTTGAAGCTCCAACGGCGAAACTCTGCATCAAACTAACAAAACAAAAAAAAAACATAATAAATAAAATAGGTAAATATTAAATATTATTGCTTGAAAAAAATTGAAACCAATGAATTTTTTTCTCTTTTAAAATAAGAATTAGGAGAATAATGTATTATTATGAGATAGCCAATGGTTAACTGTATAGCCCCATTAGGAAGCTGCTAGATACGCTCATTGAATAAATTAATTAGGAATGTAATGTGACTTCGGGGCTGACCGAAGCACTCCCCTTCTCGAGCTTTACATTCCAAATACGAAAATAGGTATGTATGCACATGTATTTAGCGTTTGTACATATGTAAATGCTGTAATAGGAAACTACTATAAACAATCGAGGTCACGATTCATTATTATTAGCATTTCACCTTAAGAACAAGGTAAATTCAAACTTTCACATAGCTTCGAAGATATCGTGAACGTAATTATAAACTACCCTCCTCATCTAGATACCTGTTGCCTCTATTCATAGAAGTCTTTTTTCACATTAAAAGGTGCGCACATATATACATTCTGTACATATTTTCAGTTATAAAATGTGTTTGATAATATTAAGTTCAATTGCGGTAGCATGTTGCAATGTGCCTATCCCAAGTCAACGGTGAGATAGTAGACGATTGTGGGATTAGCGACGGTAGCGGTATGGAAGTTGGCAATGGATATACTATGATTCATTCTATTATAGCTTTCCTTTAGAAGACAAAGTCTTCAGAATTGTCTGTATAATACGTTTTTTTTTATTCATAATTATTTTCATAACTTCACATATCTCTAAAATAACTTATTTCCATTCATTTGTAAATAATTTTTATTTTGTGTTTCACCTTTGATTTCACTTCGATCAGATTTGTTTCCCCGGTAGCCATTGAATTCGTCTTGCTTTTCGACATTTTGCTTTATTGCATTAAAATGCCAATGCGCTAACTCAAATATCGCGTACAATTTATATTTATTAATATTATTCACTCAATTTTTTCACAAAACTAACAGAAAATCTAAAATTGCTTAAAAATTATAAAAGAAAGAAAGAAAAGCAAAGTAAATTGGACAACAAAAAATAAAAGATCACAGGAACAATTCACACACAAGTCTACAAAAATTGTAAGAGATTTCTGTAACCTGCTATTGCGAATGGTTGGAGAAGAAAGATCATTGTGAATGCGTAGGAAAAAAGAAATAAAATTATTTCATTTTATATTCCAAAAAAATGTGTCTATAATTTTTCGTTTTTCCTGTCAAAACTGAAAAGATATATGATTTGTAAATTGAAGATATCATATAAAAATTTAGTTAAAATCGTTCTACCTGAAAGTTTAAAATGAGCTTGCAACCAGAATGCAACTCTGTGGTGTTTGTATTAAAAAACATACACCACCACATTTTCGCTAGGTAACAAAAGAAAACGTCAATTATAAGATTTTAGTTTTTTCATATTAGCAACGTTTTGGCGATTTGTTTAACAATTTTCAATTAAATAATAAAAATGGATGTGCGACCGAATCAAACTATTTACATTAATAATCTGAATGAAAAGATTAAGAAGGATGAATTGAAAAAATCGCTGTATGCCATTTTCTCCCAATTCGGTCAAATCTTGGACATAGTGGCGCTAAAAACGCTGAAAATGCGTGGTCAGGCGTTTGTGATATTTAAGGAAATCGGCAGTGCATCGAATGCGCTACGTACTATGCAAGGATTTCCCTTCTATGACAAACCAATGCGTATCGCTTATTCTAAAACTGACAGTGATATCGTGGCGAAGATAAAGGGTACATTCAAAGAACGCCCGAAAAAAGTCAAACCACCAAAGCCGGTGCAAAATACCGAAGATAAAAAGTAAGTGAAGATATCTCTTTCAAAGTATATTTTGTAAATATTTTTTTTTTTTTTCATTTTCCCATTTGTTATTCAGGGATAAAAAGAAAAAATCATCTAATGCTGAGAATACGAATCCTAATACACAAACCGAACAGCCACCAAATCAAATTCTTTTCCTCACCAATCTGCCAGAGGAAACAAATGAGATGATGCTTTCTATGTTGTTCAATCAATTCCCTGGGTTCAAAGAGGTGCGTTTGGTTCCAAACCGTCACGATATCGCGTTTGTAGAATTTGCCACCGAACTACAAAGTAATGCGGCCAAAGAAGCATTACAAGGTTTTAAAATAACACCATCACACGCTATGAAGATTACTTTCGCCAAAAAGTGAAAAGTCAACAACTGGGTTGGAGATGCTCACGCATTTTTCTTATTTAAGATTAGTAGTATATTTTTATTTGCCTGCCCTCGCGCTGTGTGCAAATATTTGAATTATTTATACTGATATTTATGTAAAATGAAATGATCAAACCTTAACTATTCGCAAATTCGAGCAGAATTTATTGCAATATATCTTTCCACTTCTAATTTAAATTGTAAATGTTCATTTCAAAGTTATATCACAAAAAATATTTGCGCAATGGTGGTGAGGATATTTCTTCGGTTAATCTGAAGTGAAAACTCTCAAAATATTTTCCTTTAATTATTATTAAAAAAAAAATATTTACATAAAGAAATGTACAAAATTCATTTGGAAATAAAATGCCATAACTTGGCAAATATAAAACATAATGCGTTAGTTATTCTATATTGATTTCAAGCTTCATATAATAAATTCAGCAAAACAAATCAGTTGTAATTATTTGTATTATCTTCAATCAAGTACAGGTTCTTCTTCCACAGCCTGCTCGACTTCAACGATTTCCGGCATTATTTCAACTGGTATTGGTTCACCAACATATTTTTCCATATTTTTAACCAACTTTTCGGAGTTGCCGCCGACAAATACATCGATAACATGATTATCCTTTATGAAAACGAAGGTTGGCATGCTTGTCACATTGTACTCCAAAGCGATTTCCTCACAATCGTCCACATTGACTTTCAAAACAATTGCTTTCTCCGCATATTGTGTGGCTAATTCTTCTAATTTTGGACTGATAATCTTACAAGGTCCACACCAATTAGCAAAGAAGTCGATGACCACCAATTGGCCTGAGCCAACGGCTTCTTCTAACTTCTTGTCGAGATCTTCCTTATTTTGTATAATATAAACCATAGTTACGTGAAGTATATTGCGAATACTGTTAAACTGACTTCCTTTCAAGAGAAATTTTTTGAAATATTTGAAGACAGAAAATTTTATATTTTAATTTTTTTCCAGTCTCTTGAACAGTTAAAAGTTTGTTTGAGAGTTGAAAAATTATTATTCCTTTTTTGACAAGTGTGTTTTGATAGAAAAAAATTTAAAAATATACACGCCTTGTAAGCCTGCATTACATGAAAGATTCACTTCATAAAAAGTTATTCAATAATTCTCATGTGCATTAGATAAATTAGATATCGATTAATAGCTACGATATCTATACCGTTAAGTTTTTCTTTTAATTTAACGGATGCATGCCAACATTTGGAAGTGTGAAAGTGGAAATTGGTTTAGTCAGATGTTAGATATTCTTTTTTAAAATCGCGAAAACAGTTATTTATTTTGCCCAGGATTGTATATTACAGTAGTGTACATACATGACAACAATTTACTATGTTGCTGTCGTTGTGGGTGCTTGTGGCATTGGCGTAGTTGAGGTGGGAGCCCCTTGTTGTGATGGTTCATCAATTGTCACATCATTTGGTGGCTCCCCGACATGCTTCTTAATTGTACTCATTAATTTTTCCTCATTACTTCCGGCAAACTTTTCCAATATTTGATTTTCTTTAAACAATATAAAAGCAGGCATCATGCTGACATTGTTTTCAACAGCAATTTGTTCACAATCGTCTATATTCACTTTTGCAATTATCAATTTCCCAGTGTATGTTACAGCTAATTCTTCGAGTTTTTTGTTAATTAACATGCAAGCTCCACACCACGGTGCATAAAACTCAATCAGCAAATGTTTGCGCCCAATAGCGTTCATAAGTTGATCATAAGTGCCACGATCGCTAATTAATATTAATTCAGTTGTGGTATCCAAATTGGTAAAAGTTGTTGATAATACTGGGATTGACGCAACTACAGGTTGGGGATATATTTGAGCGGTTGTGCCCGAGGTAAGTGCTGTTCCTGATGCCGACCCTGATAAGTTTCGATTCGTTGCTGGACCACTGCGCTGTACTGCTGATGCTGATGGTGGTGTACTTCGAGTATTGCCAATGGACGTCGGTGCAGGAGTGCTTTGAAGGTTGGCTGCAGCTGTTGCGGGAGTCCTTCGTATATTTGTGCCCGGCGCCGTTGTTGCTGGAGTGCTACTATTTATTGCAGAAGGTGGGCTTGTGGTATTCCCAGTCGCAGCCGTTCGTCCGGGGGACATATTAAAGAATTAAGTTTTTGTAAAAAAATACCGTTTGAGGAATTATAAACCATTTGAAATTTTGTAATTTCAATTTGTAACCAAAAATGAAAATATTTTCACAAGTCAATATTATAGCATATGTATGTACATACAAACATATATACCAATAATCAAATCAATCATGATAAATTAAATTTTTTTAAAATGTACGTGTCGAACCAAATATACACTGTGCTTCAATATTTTAAGACCGAACAAAAGTTAGCTGTTACTGGTAACCAATGAGTATTGTTAATAAATTTTTCCTAAATAACTTGAGTATTGGTAACTCTGTTACTAACTAACTGCAAAACTTTAGGGAGTAAAAATAAAAACGAGTTAATTATAAAGTAATAATTATTTTAGATGCCTAGAGGAAAGAAGCTGACGGGATTTGAAGGAGGGCAGTTTGCTGGCTTAAGAAGGGAGGAGCTTGGAGTTAACCTCATTGTGTCTAAAACTGGTCGTAGCCATTGTGGGGTAGTAAATTTTTTAAAAAACCCATATGCCTACGGTGCGGTAAAAAATGATTTGCTTTGACAGTAATAAAATTTATTCTTTTTTTTTAAATGCTCACTGACAACTAATTTTTAATAAGTGTTATAATATTGCAACAGAGTGCAGTTTTATAGAGACTTACAGGCCTCTTCTGTCGAGATAACAAATTTTACCTAGGTATTAAAACTTACCATTCAGTAAATTTTGTTACCATTTCGTATTCTGAGCTCACTGTTACCCTTTAAATTTTGTTACCAGCGAAATAGGAGGTAACAAAAATACCTGCTGTTGGGTTTTGTGTTGTAAATTTGAGAAAAAATAAAAAACCAAAATGGGTAGGCATATTTTAGGCCTGGAATTCATTGAAGATGAAGAAAAAAGTACAAAAAGCCGCATTTTAAGAAGTTTTCGAGACTGAAAAATAGCCCTTTAATTTGTAAGATAACGTTTCCATTCAACCTTTTTTGTTGTCCAGGCTATTCAGGTTTCCATAATTAGGTTCAAATATTTATAATTTTATAATTAATAATACTTTTTAATTTTTTTGTGCACTGTCTTCCATTTCGATGTGAATATTTTTCTTTTTACTTTATCAACTGGCAAATGTAATTTGACATAAACTAAAAAAACAGTGCTGCCAAATTTTTTTCAAACATTGTAACCAGTTCGCCAGAATACCAAATTCAATTTCGGATGTTAAAGAAAAGTAGCAAAATTTTCTTTACCGGTAACAGTGAGAATAGGCCTGTTAAACATAATTAAGCCATATTGCCCGATTGCCGAAATGTCTTGAGTCGATGTCGACAGCTTATCGATTACATAAATGTAAATGTCTGTTGTCATCTTAATTGGCCAAAATTTATTAGGATGATGGCAGATAAGGCTTTTGCACCGCGTGATCTTGCAGATTGACAAATATGCTAGCTTTCGGTCATTCATAGTTATTGAATTTAAATAGAATTTTATATTAGAAATGAGACTTTATTTATGACTATGATAACAAATAAAATAATGAATTGAATAAAAGGAATATCAAATACGTCATTAATAATCAACAATAAAGCTGACGCCGATGCCTATCTAACAGGCTTAGCGCTGTATTTGTATAATCTGAGTTCCCTCAGTTAAAACTTGCAGTAGGGGTTGAAACCCGATTCAAAACACTTAATAAAGTATATAATGGGTGTTTTTTTATAATGTGGTTTTCAAAGAAGAAATAAAAGGCATATAACTTAATGGCATGGCCAAATATTTAGTTTTATTACAAAGAAAAGCGTTTGTAATTATGTTTTAAAAATGATTTCGGCCCGCAGCTTGGAGCCGTACGTCGACAATAACGAATATTCTCTTCAAAGGCGACAATTGTCTCGAGCTTGTCTGCTTAGACACGCGTCTTTAAATAACCCCCAAAAGTAGTCCAACGGTTTTGAATGGAGCCCACGATGCGAGATAAAGCTCTAACCAAATTGATTGTTTCGTTGACTAAATGGCACATAGTAAAGAAGAAGAAGATGAAGATTTTCCTATAGAACACATCAAATAGAGATTTGTTGATGATATAACGGCGTCTCAACAATGGCTTGCGGATGATCATCACTCCAAATAGGACAGTTTTGTTAAAAAAAATTTAACTTTAGGGGAGCTCCATCGCTTAATAACATTTTCTTGTGACAATTGGATCGGTGGCCATTTCGTCAATCAGCCCTTCCGAACTTGTGACTCTCAAGATGGCCGTTTGGCTTAAATTTTTGTAAGAGTTGAATTTTTTAAGTCCTTAAACCAAGATCCTATAGCAAAATATTCCAATGGCTTCGATAGTCTGCTTCAAAGCAGCAATAACGTCTTCTGTGCGCAGTGTACGGCGTCTCCAAGAGTGCACATTATCCACTATATTAAAGATGGTGCGTAACAGATCCATGGTTGCTCTAATTACCGATTTTGCTGGCCTGTTATGTCGACCAACCCGAACCATTATTTTGATAAAAAAAACTTGAAGGATTTACAAACACTGTTTCGGAGTAAGTATGTTCATTATGAAATGGCAAACCAAACAGCGTATAAATCAAGTAATCACTGCCAAAAAGTCCAACTCCGAAAAAGGGTTGCCTCAATATAACTACACATAAAAAAAAACACCCTTTGCATTATGGTTTGTATGTATGAGTAAACTTATATAAATGTAAATAAATGCATAAATGACTGCTTTCGAATAAAAGCCGTTAAATATTAGGAATTAAAGCCGTTAGTTCATTAGGAATGTATAATACCAAATCATTTTTTGTAAAGCTCACAAAGTGTTTAGATGTTCCAGTTGATTCGTTAAGAGACTTGTTTTTATTTTATAATTTCTACCAGTTTTGTCCAAGTTTTCATTTATTTTAATTTTTTTTATCTCAAATCGACGATCATTTAAACAAAAACATGATGCACACTGTCCGAAGCAATGCTGATTTCGACAGACAATTGATGGCCGCTGGCGGTCGTTTGGTTGTTGTCGACTTTACGGCCAGCTGGTGCGGTCCATGCAAAAGTATTGAACCCAAGGTGAAAGCGCTTTCACGTAAATATAAGGACAGAGCCGTAGTGCTTAAGGTTGACGTGGACAAGTGCAGCAATGTGGCTCATGATTATCGTGTGTCTTGTATGCCGACATTTGTATTCATAAGAAATGGTCGTAGAATCGATCGTTTTTCAGGAGCGGATGAAATGGAGTTGGAGTATAAAATGTCAAAAATGGCTAAGGCAAAGTGAGATGTAGGATTTGCGAGTAATATGAAAGCAGGGACAGGGTCCCACAATTTTTTATTTATATGTTTTGAACTAATTTTGTGAAAAAAGGACTTAATATATAATGTTTTGTATTGTAATGAACTTGATGATTATTATTGTAATTTTAAAAGAATGTAAAATGCATCTGGTATGACATTGTATGAATAAAACTGTTGTAACATTGTAAAACTCTTAAAGTTAATAAATAAAATGGACAAAACATAAGATTTACATATGTACATATTTATTTATTAGAAGTATTCTGGCTCCGAACACATGTAATTTCTTTTGTGTTTGATTGCGGTATAAATGAATATAACAGTACTTTCAAGCGCCCTAACGGATGTTGTTATAATACTCCAGACAAATGTACGTATTAAAACAATACAATTTTGTTTCTAAGACACTCTTCATTTGGCTTCGTGATTTTTTTTCAATTACTTTTACACATTTTAAAGTGAAGTCAAGCCTCTATTTATTTTCCTCTGTGAAATATTTAATTCCTTTAATAAAATTTTAATATATTATTTAATAGTGCTTCGAGGTGGGTAGTAGTGTGCAAAATTGAGAGGATATCGGACCTTAACTTTCGAGATTTCCTATTGGATTCCCAGATTTCCTATTGGAAACTAAAATTCATTTCAGATAAGGGTCTATGATGGATGATTTTTTGATGCGAGCTATTTATGACCACCAAGCTCCAGAAAGACCGAATCACAAGTTTTAAAACAGTATAACTTAATATAGTCAGATTTTATTTAAATTAATTAACTTGTACAAATTTATTCAAAGTGTTTGCCAGCTTATTTTAGTTCCACAAAAGAAGTCCACGTTCTTTGTGAATCTGCTTATAGTTGCGATAAGAAGAAGAGTGAACAATTTTTTTATGTACCGATTTGTGTTGATTTTCAATTGGAAATAAATAAAAAGTTTGTAGAAAACTACAAATACCTTGGTGGAAAATGAGTTTAACAGGCGAGAATGCACAAATAGTGACTAAAGAAAATGTAAACGAAATGGAGGAGATTGATGAGGCAGAAGTAAAATATTTAAATTCAAGAGGAGGGGGCTTACCACATTGTCTTCTTAATAAATATTTATTTTCTTCTATGCCAATTTAGGAGGAAGCATTGCTAAAATCGGATGATGAATATGATGCAGTTCGCTCAAAAGTAAAACCTGAAATGAGTACCTTGGCTCCTCCGTCAGCTATGCTTACCGATGAAGATTCTCTTATGAATGAAGCAGCACAGTTACAAGACGAGACGGTTGGTATGGACGATGGTGGTTTAAGTGATGAGGACATAGTATTAGCTGAACAACGTGAAACATCCAATCGAGCGGTTAATGATGACTTTAATGACAATAGTGACGATGATGATATGGACGAGGCGGAAAAAGCACTTTTGGAATACAAAAATATAATCAAAGAGCTGGATATAAATCAATACGTCTACGAGAAATATATTCAACTTTGTAGGCTAGCGCAGTAAGCGAATAGTTTTATTTTTTTTTTTAAGTAAATTAATACAAACTATACAATTATTTTCAGTGCCACAGACGACTTGGATATTATAAGGGAGGCATATAGCCGATTTTCCGCTGTATATCCATTATCACAAGAGTTATGGTTAAAGTATTTAAGCATTGAAATGAATGTTGCATTGTCGCCGAAAGAAGTTGAATTTGTTGAGACGCTCTTTCGTAAAGCGTTGGCCGACTATTATTGTGAGTAGAAGTTATAAGTAATGAATTAATTATTTATATTATTATTTCATTTTTATTTGTTAGCAACTGCTATTGCTGTAGAGTTCGCTGCATTAGCTCCACGCTGTGCAGAACCAGACAAAATATGGCAAGAATTATTAGGTACCTATGGCCTACATTGTCTTGATGGTCAACAATTTTTTAAACTATATAGAGAGTACGTGGCATCGCATGGTACCATGAGGTAAATAATCAAATATTTATGTATTATAATTAATAAAAAAAAATTTCTCTACAGCGCGGAGTCAAAGCAAGAAGCATATATAAAGAGTTATCTGCAAGAATTAAAATATCCGCTCTTTAACATGGAAGAAAGCTACATTGAGTTCAAAGTATTTTATGAAAAGAATAAAGGGCAGATAACAACACATGAAATAAGTTGGGAGCTGTTGGATCAAAACTACTTTAAAGCCAAGGAGCATCAGCACAAAATACTACCGTTCGAACAGAATCTGAAGGAGTTGGATTTGAAGTCTTATCGGGAACGCGCTGAAATCTACATAAACTACATAAAGGAATCGGATAAATTTCTTGATGAAAATGTATTGCAAACAGTTTATGAACGCATGGTGGCAGATTGCTGCTTAAATATTGACTGTTGGCTCACATATATTGATTTCATAATGTACCGTGATGCCTATGGGCGGCCAGAAGAGTTACAAGACTTACCAATTTTTCAACAAACCGCCGTGGATGTCAATAAACGGGCATTGCGCAATTGTACTTGGTCGGAGAAGTTATATGTGAAATATATGCTACTGCTGGAACAGTTAGGTAAATCAAGAGAGGATGTACAAGAAGTCTTGGAAAGCGCTATGACAGCTGGTTTTCAAAGCGCCGAACCGGCGGTGGCTGTGTGGATGGAATATTTAACATATTTGCGACGCCATTTAGACTTTGAAAATGAAAACGAGGTTAGATCTATTGTTCTTTTTTTTCTAAAATACAAATTATATTTACCATTAAATAACTTCCACTTTTTATTACAGTGTGATATTCTACGTAAAAATTTCAATTTAGCATGGACCATACTCGGCCAGCAGTGGGGTGTCTTAGCAGATTGTAATTGTGAAATATTGTTATTTTGGGGGCGCTTAGAATATGGCCCATTACGCGATGCTAAACGTGGAAAAGAATTATGGACCACAGCAATGGGTTGGTTGAACAACATATTATTTTTAATTAATTAATATACTATTTTATTCATAATAATGTAGAAAGTGCCGATAACGCAACTCGTTCGGGTCTGTGGATAGAATTTGCACAATTAGAGCTCCGTTCTGATCTAGAATCAGCGAGAAAGTAAGTTTCTTAAGCACAAATATATTCAAAGCTAAAATCTTGTAAAACATTTTGAATATAATAACTAGATTGTACCGCAAAGCTCTACATTCACCCGGTCTTGATAATGCTCTAGTCATTGTTTCGGCTTGGGAACGCTTCGAGCGTTGTAATGGCACACCAAAAACGCTTAGCAACTGTACGAAAGAATGTGCCGAATTCCTCAGCCAGCATCGCACGGAAAAGTCGACATTTAAATCTGATACAAATGTAATACCGAAAAGTAATAAAGGCACAAAAAGGAAGGCCACGGTGGCGACGGATTCGGCTGTGCCAGGAAAGAAATTGAAAGCAGAGTTACTAAAGAAAGATGCTCATCCAAGTGGCAAAGATGGTGTCGGAATTGGCGATGTACCTAAATCCAAACGAGTTGAAAGTGCCGCCTTTAAGGAACACGAAAACCAAGAAATTGATTTGGCCAAGGATCACTTACGCATATTCCTTAGTAATTTAGATTACAGGTGACCTAATTTCGACTTTATATAGAATGTATCATAACCTATATTTTTATTATAGTTTAACTGAAGATGATATACGGACGAATTTGCCCGAACTGAAAATTGTAAATGTAACACTCATACGATCAGGCAATGGCAAGAGTCGAGGTTTTGGCTATGCAGAACTAGTAAATGAGGTATTTAAATACCTTTAAGTGTAACTTTTCATTATGAAATTAGTTCTACAATGTGTCACGATTTCAGGCAGAAGTCGAAAAGGCTTTAGCAATGGATAGAATATCATTAAAGGGTCGACCCTTGTACATATCCAGTGTTTTGCGAGACAAAGAGAAACGGCAGAAATTTAAATATTCCGGTTGGTACTTTCTCGCTCCTGCAATTAATGCATATAAAATTGTCTTTTTGTTTAATTTTACAGATGACTTAGAGCCAAAGAAGCTTTTCGTGAAAAGCCTGCCCCATGACACCACAAAGGAAGAATTAGAAGAAATTTTCGGGGCTTTTGGAAAACTGCAAGATGTGCGTTTGGTGTATCATAAGTAAGAAAAAAGCTCTCAAGCAAAAAATTTTCACTGTAAAAACTGACAAATTCTCATCACCTTTACTTGCAGAAGTGGTAAATTCAAGAATATCGCCTATGTCGAGTTTCAAGACGAATCAGCAGCAGGCAAGGCTGTGCTTGGTGTAGACCAACTAGAACTGCGTTCACACACGGTAAGTACTCGTATAAGAATCATTTATTAATTGTAAGTCAATACTTTTCTCCATTTTTAGATTTCGGTTGCGATTTCGGCGCCACCGCCCAAGCCTTGCTCTGCACCTATAAATCCTAGTAAGTTACTTGGTATTAGCACTAAAAGAAGCAAACCGTTCGAGCAGAAACCACGCATGTCACTTATACCAACAGTGGTGCGCAAACAATTAACCACATCCACCAATGATGTGAGCAGTAAGCCAACTAATGGCGCAGCGCCAACAAAAACAAATGAAGATTTTAGAAAGCTACTACAAAAATAAGATGATTCCTATTGTATGTCTTTAAATAGAATTTTGCATGAACATTATGCATAATTAGCAAACAATATTCGTGTAGCGTGTGAAACATGTTGGTATACAATCCATGGATCCGTGACCCGTAATACTGTATACCCGTAGTACTACTCGTTTGCTATATTGTGCGATTCATAATTTTAGATTAACTGTTTAAAAGCAATAACATTGTATTTATTTTGTCCTTACTTCCATGATATGAAATAAATGGAAATACGTATATTTTTTGTATGAATCACGGTGTAACTTGCATTCAAATTTTCCACGAAAATTACAAGCATTAAAATTATAAAGATTAGCAAAAATGTTTTGAAGCTATTACACTTTGAACTTGACACTCTTGCTGACGGTCGCTTTGATTCCAGATATTTCGCCACCATAACGTTTGGTCTCCTTGCGAACAGTGCGCACTGCGCCCTTGCGTCGTACCAAAGCTTTGCGGAACTTATTGCGATGTTTGACACGTGGATTTCGTAATTCCTTCTTGCGTGCAGGTGTAAGACCCTTGTTCTTAGCGATTTGGTAAGTAATGCCACGACGTGTATCTTCATCTGCATCTTCTCCTGCTTCGACGACGTCCATTTCATTCTCATCCAAGCCATTAAAGTCTTCTTCATCTGATTCATCTGAACCATCATTGTCTTCACCGCTTGCTTTCTCATATTTTTCAATAATGCCCAATTTGGTTTTCTTTCTTGATTTAGTCCGCTCTGCGACAGCTTTAACGTCCAGCACTTTAAACTTATCACCGTCAACAATGCGCTCTAGCAACGCTTCCAACTGCGGACGTATAATGTTGTCATATTTGTCCTGCAACTGTTTAATTAATTTCTTTAGCTGCAACAAACGCTTGGTAACTGGATGATTGCGCACAGCAGCGCGCTTAGCTTTCAAGAGCAGATAAAACGCCACGTTTGAGCAATAACTCAAGGCTAAATTTTGATAAAGCTCTGCAAATTGTAACGCTGGTATCATAGGCACGTTATTCTTGCGTACATACTGCAATACAGGTGATACAAGTTGGTCCACCTCCTTCACATAATTTTCAAAATCATCCATAAGCGGTGTGAATTCCGGTGAATCTTCTTGAAATAGGCGTAGTTTATCACGCTTTGTTATACCCGACAGATCAGCTTTGACCTCTATTGTTTCATCGACAACCACTTTCGGCCTTTTTTCTTTCGGCTTAATAGTATGTAGTAGCGCGTCATCAAGAAGGAAATCTTCTTCCTTCATTTGTTTGGCTAGACGTATTTGTATTTTTTTAGCCTCCTCTTCTTCCTCTTTTGCCATTTCCTCCTGCTCAGCAGTGTATGTACTATAATCGGGATCAACAAAATCGGTGTTATAATAATTTCGGCTTTTGTCACCCCAATCTGTTGTATCGGGTAGGTCATCATCACTCTCAGCACCCTCTATGTCGCTGCCGTGCATTAAAGCGCCTACATCATCTTCATCATCGTCACCGTCGTCCTCATCGCTTTCTTCAAAAGCCATGAGTTCGTTGTCCTTAGTAATATCATCATATTTTCGCCCTTGACGTACTTGGCGCAATAGCTCCTTTTCATCTTCGCTATATTCAGCTTCAGAGTCAGTGGGCTCGTAATCATCGGCGTTATCATATCTCTTTTTATCAATATGTATTTTATCCCCCATTTCCTTTATTTTTTGACAGAAAATAAATAGTTTTTACACCAATGGTCTATCACACGTGTGATTTTAATATTTACTATTTTCTTCTTATTATTAGGTAGCATTCACAAGATAAGAAAACAATCAACGTAGAGTTGCCATTCCCATATTTTAAAATGAGCTCATTAATAAATCGGTGACTTTGTACGCAGGGTGAATTTATAGAAGGTGAAGTTGTGATGTGATTGCGTGTCCTTCTATTTTGCTATTTTGCTATTACACTTCAAAATCCTTGACCATTTCAAACGAAAATACAATAGACGAACTTCGATCTTGACATTTTTCGTCTAAGCCGTAATCGTAAACAACCAAACATTATCTAAAATGCTGATTTCATATTTTACTTATTTTCTTAATTGTTTTCAAAGGATTAAAATATAACAAACAAAACAAAAACAAGTTCAATATTACTTAATGTGAGAGGTTTTTAGCTTTTTGCTAAAAATATTGCTGGCAAAGTTTGAAATGTTACTGTTTGTTACTTTTTGTTAACACCTAAAATTGAATTTGGCACTCTGGCGAACTGGTTATAATATTTAAAAAAAACTTTGGCACTGCCTTTTTCGTCCTTCTCAAATTACATTTGCCAGTTGACATAGTAAAATAGAATAATATTCAAATCGAAATGGAAGACGGTGCATTTCAAAATAAATAAGATTTATTTATGTGTTTATTAAATCATAAATATTTGAACCTAATTTTGGAACATATGCTTAAGCGACAAAAAAAGATGAATGAAAACGCTATAATTCATATTAAAAGGGGCATTTGTTTCTCGCAAACTTCTTGGCATACGCCTTTTTACACTTTTTTCACTTTTTTCTTCTTCTTCAATGAATTCCAGACCTAAAATATGCTTACCCATTTTTGGTTTTTAATATTATTATTTTATTTTTTCAAACTAACAACACAAAATCAAACAGTAGATTATTTTTTACCTTCTTTTTCGCTGGTAACAATATTTACAGGGTGACAGTGAATTTAAATTTTAATACCAAATTTTGATTCCTCTACAGAATAGACCGGTTAGCGTGAATTTAGAGATACCAAATGAGCCTTGCTTCTGATTTTTCAAATAGAGGTCTTCCTCTCTTCCTTTTGCAAGAGCTAACCATGTGGCCAATATGCTAACTGTTTGTTCAATGACAGTGAAACTTCGTCTAGTTCTCGTTATTTCATAACCCATTCGCTTTGCTTCCTTATCCAGTAGTATATTATATTTACATACATATGCATACATATGTATATTTCAAAATATATAAATAATTTTATATATTTGTATATTGTATGTAAATAGCAAGCGTATACGCCGAAGAACAGAGATTATCTTATCAGCTGTTTTTTGCTTTATCACTCCTGAAGATATTTTCTTACTACCCAACCTCATATAGAATACAGTATTCTTAATTATTTAACATGATAGATCATTTAAGAATGTAAATCAACAATTGCATTACAAAATCCTCGTTTAAAATTACCTACTCAATCCTAAATAGCAACTGTTTCCAAGGGTGGCTCGACGTGGACCTCAAAGCTGATATCTTTATTGCAAACGATTATAGGTCAAAGTTATGAGCGTGACGTGGGAGTCAAGATTTGTTCAGTCCATATAAAAAAGTTGTACTAAACTGCAATTACTATACGAACTTCGCCTTGGTCCATTACAATTAAGTAATTTAATTCGATCAGAATAAGCTATTAAGAAATGTCTCTCTGCCGATTATAAGGCGTAGGCAAAAGCGAATTGGTAAACATGTATCAGGTGTAGTAAAAAGAAATCCAGAAATCCAGCCTTATTTATATGATTCCAAACGGGTTTTGTGTAATCTTTAGCTCTTGGGCAACAGAATACATGACGATCGGACTAGACAATGTCTATGATTTAAACGACATTTTCGACAATTGGCCTTCTACTCCGTTAAGCATATTTTACATCAAAATTTCCGGAATGAAACAGAATTTAATTTTAACAGTATCAGGGCCATAAACGTCATTCACATTTTCAGCCACCTGGCTTGCGTTTCCGGCCTTATCGAAGAAAAATGGTAAAATATAGCAGATTTTCACTTTTATAGTGTCCATTTTTGACGCAAGCTCAAGCAGAACTGAATCAACCAATCAGAAATTGTCAGAAAAGCTTTTTTAGTATGAAATGTCATCCTTCTAACGCCATCTAGCGGAACCCGATCGGACTTATACAACGCGATATACAGGGAATAAACGCCATCTATTGGAAAAATAATGGATTCCTAATTACTACACCTAATATTCGTAACTGCGTTCTTCTCTAACTTCTGAAAAGCTCTTGTTTTTCAAGTTGAAATCCAACATGCCTTGTCATTATAGACAAATGTTATTTTTTTATATTCTTATTTTAGTTCTGAATTTGTTCTCATTAAAACGGCATTAGCTGGTTACGTTCCTCATCTTACAGTCTGGATCTTCCAGTCTAGATCTTACAGAAGGAAGCTTCTTCTAGTCCATATACGTCTGTATTTTACAAGTGGTCCTCTCTACCCAAGCATTATCTACAAACACACATACATATGTATGTATGTATGTATGGAAAGTTAACTCGACTGTAATGTACTAGAGCTGCCTGCATTACTATCGCGATCTCTAAGCTATCACTAGAAAAAATTATAATGAAACAATTCGTTTCGTTATGTTGAGCAAAGAATCTTTATAATTTCAGCTAAAAATTTAAATTATTTCGACTTTTCACCCCAAATCGTTACCAGTTTTGACCCGTATAAACTGCATCGAGCAGCGACATTTTGCAGCCACAGTTTTGCCAATACCGCCTTGACGATGTTTCTTAATTTTAATGAAAGACGTGAGAGCAAGAATTTAATGACTTTCGATTCACTTAAGGCCACCAGGGACACACGACCGTTGATAACAAATCGGTGTTGATCGTTATAATTATGATTATGTACATACATACATATATCATTTTATTAGTTGGATGGTGTGATCCATTGATCTGGCTATCAAATTTTATGGACAAAATTAATTGGCAAAAAATCTGCTATCACCAAGTTAAATTCGAATTACTCTGGAAATGTACTTAGAGATAAGCGCAAGCAATAAAGTAATGCTCATTTTATTCGCATACTTATGTTCAATGTCCTTCTAGTACGCACATATGTACATACATACATATAGTATGTTTAAAAATTTGCCATTCAATTTAAATATTATTTTATGCGTGTCAAGGCATTATTGTTTAGTTTTTGTAGAGGTTCAACAATTCTTTCAAAGCCACTTTGGAAAAGTTATTTAATCTTTAAAAAAATTTTAATTATTAATTGTACAACAAATTTATGACGCAGATTGATGAGCGTAAATATTAAACTGTAACAACAATTCTTAAAATTTACTCTCAATTCAATAATAAAAATAATAAAAATTAGCGGATGTTCTTTTAGATTAATATTGACCCGTATAGAAATTGCAATCATTTTTTAACAATCATGGAGGCCAAGCCACAGGCCCACCATTCGAGATAATAAGCGCATTAAAAGCTTCATTGAATAAATTGTTTGTTTCGTTGCCCGTATGGCATGTAGCGCCGTCTTGTTGGTACCAAAGGTCGTACACATCAATATCCTCCAATACAGGCACGAAACAGTCATTAAACATGGCCCTAGAGCGTTCCTCATTGACTGTAACTTTATTTAAAAAAAAAATTAGGACCAATGATTCTCTCTGTTCTGGCTTTTTGAGGACTTAATGGCGTCTCAACCATGACTTGTGGATTATTATCACTCCACATGTGACAATTTTGTTTATTAAACGTACCCATTCAACCAAAAGAGGGCTTCACCGCTGAGCAAATTTTTTTTTAGAAAATCTGTATCGGTGGTCATTTCGTTTTGACCCATTTATTAAACGTTGTTGTTGTTGTTGTAACCGCAAAATTATTCCCCAAAGTACTTTTTGGGGAATGTTGCGGGAGTGACAGTCCTTGGCCGGATAAAAATCCGGGTCGTTCCGGTATAAAGACCCGACTGTCGCGAGAACTATTGGATTTTAGTCGCCTCTTACGACAGGCATGCCTTACCGCGGGTAAATTCTTGAGCCCCTAACCCGCAGGGGTTCGACGAGCTTGATGTATGTAGCGCGCGATGGCGGAGGGACTCAATCGGGTCTACTCGGATATTCTGTTTCACACTAGCGTTTTCGGTGCACACTACATCGCATACCATTGTCCCCTAGGGTAAACGTGGTGTGAAATAGGTCCAGGGTTGCTCGAATTACCGACTCTACTGGAGGTTTATGTCGTTCGAATATTGAACAATTATTATACCTAATATCTCTTTGCTTAATATTTATTACTCTTGAGAATTTTTTTCTTGTTGTCTTATTCATTCTTAATAAAATTGATACTGAAATTGTTATTTGTTATTAATTAACTAATTAATTAATTAATTTCGGTCCTAAATATTTTTTCGCTTATTTTTTAATTTTTGTAGCTCGTGATCCATATCAGCGTATCAAAATAAAGCTGATAATTTGTTCCATTAAAATTCGTTTTGTTGTCAAATATGTAAATCATTAACGTACTGACGTCAGTCTAACAACGGTCTTCTCAATGCTACTCTAATAGTATTGATAAAGTGGCATCATAACATCCGCAATTTCGGAACAATGGTCTTATTTAAGGTCTTCTCTGATTAAAACTTTTTCTAAAATGATTGAAAAGTGATAACAAAAGGCTCATTACTTATAATTTCTGAATAAATAAAGTTTGCTTTAAAAATGGCCACACGATTGTGACAAGCACACTTAAGCAAGCACCAGCAAGCTTGAAACTAAAATATATTATTAAAGTAATTTTTGTAAGCACGTGTCTTTCTCTAGAAGTTTTAATTATAATCTTTGTTTTTATATATGATTCAATAACTCAAAGTTGGATAAGTAGGGGCAACGTAGTTTTGACACTCCTTTGAAAGTAGTAGAAAGGGTGCGATAATATGTCCCATTTAAAAATAAAACAGGGAAAAAGGAGCAAAAAAGTAGTTAAAAAAGTAGGGGAAATAGTAGGTAATTTACATGGTTTTTATTACAGTTCATTAATTTTATAAACAAATTACCCTTGAAATTATAATAATATATGTATCTATAAGGTGTACAAGTTTGCTTCCGCCATTTTCCGATAGATGGCTGTACCAGCTGAGACTGGTTGAAATACATAGATGATAAAGCCTTTAAAGTGAGTGTGGACAGTGCCTAACGAATTGTCATCGACGTTTCAGCGACAGTTGTTCTTGTTTTCGTATTATTCACGCTCGAAAATGTCCGTTTATATGCCTAATTCTCGCCATTTGCGGGAAGTTTTACTTTTCTGTTACAATTCGAAAAAAATTCCAGCTGAAGCGCATCGAATGCTCTCAGAAACTTACGGTGATGCTGCTCTGAGTGAAAGAACGTGTCGGTAGTGGTTTCAACGTTTTAAAAATGGTGATTTCGATGTCGAAGACAAACATGCTAGTGGAACAGAAAAAACCTTCAAAGATGAACAACTAGAAGCATTGCTTGATGAAGATTCGTGCCAAACCCAAGAACAGCTTGCCGAATCGTTGGGAGTGAGTCAGCAAGCCATTTCAAAACGTCACATGGCCTTGAGCATGATTCAATATCAAGAGCGACATGACAAAGTCATCCTCCAACACGACAATGCTCGGCCTCATGTCGCAAAAGTGGTCAAAAAGTACCTGGAAAAGCTGAAATGAGAACCCCACCGCCCGTATTCCCCAGATGTCGCCCTTCTGACTTCCACCTATTCCGTTCGATGGCACGCGGCCTGGCAGAACAACATTTACAATCCTTCGAAGAATTGGAAAAATGGATTGCTTCATGGATAGCGTCAAAAGAGGACTCCTTTTTTCGAGCCGGGATCGGGAAAATTGCAGGAAAGATGGGAGAAAGTTGTCGCTAGCGAAGGACAATACTTTGAATAATATATCTGTAAGCACTTTTTCGCAACAAAGCTTTTAATTTTGGAAAAAAACGGCGGAAGCAAAGTTGTACACCTGATATATTTTCTAAATTATTTGCAACAATGATATGAAAATCTATACTATAAAAACTAATGGATGTAGACAATAATATAATTATTAATAGTAAAATTACTTTTAATTGGTTAAATTAGAAAATTTTGCATATATAGCAAAAACAAATTTATTTGAGTAATTTAAGCCGCTAACCAGCTGGTTGATGTCCTAATAAAATTAAAGGCTAATTAAATAGTTGCCAAAATATTGAACCAACCAAACAGAATAGATGATGTCTACCAAATCTTTTCATAAAAAAATAAAACATTTAACTACTTTTTAAAAATTTGTTTTAAAAAAGAGCTCTCTTTTACATAGGAGTATTATGATATTCAGTAAGGGAGCCTTTTAAGCATTAACACGAACAACAATGTCAGCTTTGAAATCCAGGGGAGAATCACTCTGGCTAACTAGTGCTACTTTTGACTGAGTAGGCAATTGAAATGTAAAGTCCGCTTTCGACGAGCGAAGATCAAACTCTACTAATCACTTATCATTCCCATCCAGCTATGTACAATATATAATATATGGTGCGGAGGCATGGACGATGACAGCATCTGATGAGACGGCATTAGAAGTTTTCGAGAGAAAGGTTTTGCGTAAGATTTATGGTCCTTTGCAATGCATTGCGCGAATACCGTAGCCGATGGAATGATGAGCTGCATGAGATATACGGAGACATTGACATAGTTCAGCGAATGAAGAAACAGCGATCATGTCGTCCGAATGTATGAAAGCATTCCAGCTGTGAAAGTATTCGATGCAGTACCCGCTGGTGGAAACAGGAGAAGGCGAAGACCTCCACACCGTTGGAAGGATCAGCTGGAGAAGGACCTGGCAGTACTTGGTATGTACACAAACAGGCGAATTTTTTTTTCTAAAATTTTTGCTATAATCTTAAATAATAATTATTTTTATTAATTTTACCACTGAAATACACAATCAAATTGAAGAAAACAATAGATTGTATAATCTACAATTGAAAAATAAATTATGAAAAATCTGACAACGTGCGATTTAATATTTATTGCAGAATTATGAAATTTCAAAGCAAAAAAGAATAAAAAAAATTAATGTAAACAGTAAACAAATTTGTAGCCTCAGCCTCTTATTGGTGAAAATTCATGGGCTCGCCTTGTATATATATTGTATACATACATACATACTCGTATATGCACATATATACCCCTGTAAACACACATTAAGAAGAGAGTAGAACCAACTGATTACAAAATCAAAAGATCAAAGTATGCACAACCAATTACTCGTACATACATATCTATGTATATATTTGTCGTGGTTGCAAAAGATACTTTGAAGGCTAATCGATCGTAAGAGGAGGAAAATTCCATATGGAGGCCAAATTGGTAAATCCTTTTTTCATTCCATTCCCGTTTTCTTGCGTCATTGTGAATTTTGCGGCCGTTGACTGTTCACAATAGTATCTTGTTGCCCGCTGATGCGATTTGTTTAAAAATTGAGTAAATTAAAATTAAAGAAATCAATTAAGTGATACAGTTTATGCTACAACTACCCATCTTACAAACCGCACAGCCATAGCACCCGACTGGAAGAGCGATATGCATAAACGAGTTATCGACGAGGTGGTAACAGCGGCGAAATGTTGTCAGCTGCCAGTGTTATTGCACACTTTTGAACAAATTTATAATTTTCGTCAACGAATTTTATATTTTATATGTTTGAATATAAACGCCAATCAAATATATGTACATGATCTATATGTCAACAAATAATTAATTGAAAATTTAGCTTTCACTTTCTTTAAAAAAACTACGCATTTTCTCCGATTATTTAATGTTACTTTAAGAAAGACTATGCTGGCAACCTTGTATAGCAACGAGAAATTAGCCGAACCGGATTTACGGAAAAAATCAAATCGCCGCTGGTTTCTGCGAGACAGTCGCCAGTAACGGCGTCGACAAGGGGTGACAACCTTTCATTTACACGGCGCTCTCATAAGATAGGTTGCAGTCGCCTCCGAACGGTCGATTGAGTTTTACACGCGGAGGGCTTGACAATCCCTCTCGAGGGGCGACCGACTGCAATTAGAAAAATTAATATTCTATAGTTTTGGTTGTTGGTCGAACTAGGACTCGAGCCCTGACTTTCACAACGGTAGTAGGCAATGCTAACCACTCGGCTACCACGGCTGTAATGTATAAATGATAGCAAATTAAAAATTGATATAAATAAAAAACTTTTGGAAAAGAAATTTACCTAAAATACGCTGGTTCGATGACTCACTGGAATGTGAAGTTTTAATGGAACTGGCCAGAAACCTAGAGAATTGTGGTTGGCTCGCCCTCCTTAAGTCCTAATGTATACCATTTTATCGCCATCTGAATCTTTGAATAAAGTCTAAATTGCAATCTGATTTTTTCCACCGTTAGTAAGTTTAGACCAGTATTATAACTTTGCAGGATTTGAGTTAGTGACTCTTTCTAATATCCTGTCTACTTTGGCACTATTAGGACTCTCTCTACAAAGACCCTAGAATTTATCCTTCAAATCAGGCCAATTACCATACAAGTGACGTACAAAGCGGCGCTGACAAATATTCGCATAAAAATTTTGGACTATCGGATGCAGTCCTCTAAATGAAAATAATATTGCAAAAAACACTAAATTTATCATAAGTAGAGCTAAACGGGCAATATGACAAAAAAAACGAAACCATTATACCTCGTTGATGCCACCTACTCTTGCCGAAGCAAAGGTGAGAGCGCAGCAGGCAAGTACTGGAGGAGTTAAATAAGCAACCGCCTTAACAGAGAAGTCTATAAGATTTTTTGTTGACAGCTAAGCTCTAATGAAGTCAATTGAATGGGCGAAAACAGAGTTTATATGTGTGAAATCATAAAAAGATGGAATTAACATGCATTCCCGGGAAAATACAGTGAAAACCACTTGAGCCCTATGATATGCGGATGTAGAGGTTAACAAAGAGGAGACGAGGCTCACATCACCGACTGCTATAGGGCTTTCAGCGCATTTAAATGCTGCCGTGGCAGTGGACTCTTGAAGAATAGCTAAATTCTTGGTGCCCTTGGATTGCAGACTGACAAAACTTTTATTTTTACGAAACAAAAGCAGACTTAGAAACCTTTTAGATGTATGTACGATGAATCTACCCTTGCGTGCATCTGTGGCTAAGTACAGAATGTGGAGAAGAGTGCTAAACGCTTGAGCATGGGTTGCTGCTCTGCGGCTCCTGCCGTTTAAAAAGTAACAAAGCGGCGGAAGCTGACGACAGAACTATTCAAACTTGGCGGTGAAGAGCTGACAAGGTGCATGCATCAGCTACTTTGAAGAATATGGTCGGACGAAAGCATGCCAACTGGGGTCCCCACAGGTCCTGTCGAGGTATTGTGTGAAAGACTGAAGCCCGCCGTCAACAAGCTGATTGAAACTTATCAGTGTGGCTTCAGACTTGGTAAGTCAATCGTTGACCAGATATTCACCATGCGACAAATCTTGGCAAAGACCCGTGAAAAGAGGATCGACACCCACCATCTCTTCGTCGATTTTAAAGCCACCTTCGACAGCACGAAAAAGAGCTGCCTTTACGCCGCTATATCTGAATCTGGTATCCCCGCAAAACTTATACGGCTGTGTAAGCTGGCGCTAGACAACACCAGAACCGCAGTCGGAATTGGGAAGGACCTCTTCGAGCCGTTCGATACCACAGGAGGTTTCAGACAGGGTGACTCTCTGTCGTGCGATTTCTTCACTTTGATGCTGGAAAGAATAATAAGAGCTGCAGAGTTGAATAGAGAAGCTGCAATCTTCTTTAAGAGTGTACAGCTACTGGTGTAAGCCGATGATATTGACATTATCGGCCCCAACAACCTCACTCGTTCTGCTTTCTCTAGCCTTGATAAAGAAGCGAAGCGAATGGGTCTGGTAGTGAACGACGACAAGACGAAATATCTCCTATCATCAAACATACAGTCATCGCATTTGCGACTTGGTGCCCATGTCACTGTTGATAGTCATAAGTTTGAAGACGTAGATAATTTCGTCTATCTAGGAACCAGCCGGAACATCAGCCTTGAAATCCAACGCAGAATCACTCATGCCAACAGGTGCTACTTTGGACTGTATAGGCAATTGAAAAGTTAAGTCCTCGCCCGGCGAACGAAAACCAAACTCTACAAGTCCCTCATTGTACCGGTCCTGATATGTATATGGTGCGGAGGCATGGTCGATGACAACATCTGATTAGAAGGCGTTAGGAGTTTTCGAGAGAAAGGTTTTGCGTAAGATTTATGGTCCTTTGCGCGTTGCAACGGCGTATACCGCAGACGGTGGCACGATGAGCTGTACGCGAGCTTTACGGCGACATTGATGTAGTTCAGCCAATCAAGAAACAGCGGCTACGCTGGCTAGGTCATGTAATCCGCATGGATGCGAATACTTCAGCTTTGAAAGTTTTCGATACAGTACCCGCAGGGGGAAGCAGAGGAAGAGGAAGACCTCCATTCCGTTGGAAGACCAGGTAGAGAAGGAAGAAGGAGAGAAGGCTGTACTTGGAATTTCCACTTGGCGCCAAACAGCAAAAAGAAGAAACGAATGGCGCATTGTTGTAAATCGGCTATAATCGCGTAAGCGTTGTCTACGCCAGTAAAGTATAAGTATGTAAGATATTAAGCATGTACACGTACGAATGTATATACAATACATTCATACCAATTTAATTTTTTAATTATTTTCTGAAATTTAATAAATAATATGTTTTAATATAATGCCACGTTAGTTTTAACGATAGCGAAAGCTTTGTTCTTCAGAAGAGTGGCAGTTTTCTTCTTGAAGGCTGGTTCAATAAACATATGAATTCTTAGATATAAAAATGTAATTTTGTTTTGCAGCATTTTCTTTTATTTTTTGCACAATCAAAGCGTACGCCCACATGGATGGGTGTGTGCATTGAGCGCAAAAAAAAAATGTTCAAAAGTAAAAATAAAATAAATTAATACATATTTATACACAAACACAAAAATATATTTATTTTTCGCCAGATACTCTCAACCAAATTACGTTTCTTCATATTTTTCAATACATATTTATAAAATTCACGAAATTCATTCGTTTAACAGAGTCACATGAAATTGTGATCTGTTGACTTTTCATACAATTGTGTATTGGCATACATACCTACGAGTATGAATTTAATTAATATAAATATTTTGTATACTAGAACCATATACATATAATATGTATGTATAATCAGCAGCCATGCCTGTTTTTTATTTAAAGTAATAAATTTTTTGTATTTCTCTTTGCTTTTCAGCCCAATTTTTATGCCTTTTTTGTTTTATTAAAATCTCATCTTGAAATATAAGCAGCGCGTCGTCTTCTGGAAGCACCATTTGGTGAAACAGTATATTTTGAGAAACATATGTATACATTGCAGCACAGCGCCTTGAAGCAAACAAATACAAATTTTTTGTTAAGTTAATAAATTTGATTTAATAAATCACTAAAAAGTGTATGCAAACGAAAAGTTACTCAACGTTAGTACTGAGAGTAAGAAAATAAAAAGTGCAGAAAATCATCATAAACTGAACTGCTGATATATAACAGTAATATCGATTATTTTGTGACGATCATATATAAAAGTTCCAAGTCAAAAAGTTGAAATTATTCGTCTGTGTGCAGCTTGTCAACAAGAATAATTAATTTATTTAGTTTAATACGCGCTGGTGACCAATTCAGTTGATTGACTTTTAATTACGAACGCGCGGCAAAGAAATTCATTGTCACATAGACGTATGTACGAAAATTATACATACAGACTTATATAAGTAGTTCCTGTACAATTTAAAAAAGTAAGTGGTTTTACATGTTCTATTTAATAAACAAATATATACAAATACTCTTATGGAAATTCATTCACCGCACCTATTAAAAATCATTTACATACATGCGTACTTACATCTGTATGTACATATATCGCTGTGCAAAAATTTCGAACGATACTCGAGCACTTTACGTAAATTTTGTTGTTGTTGTTGTTAAAACAAACGTCAATATTTTCAGTTATAATAGTGCCATAAAATCGCATTAATGTGTCTGTGCGCCAGTTTGTTATACAGTGGCGGCTAGAAAAATTGGAACGACTTTGGGAAAATGTGGGAAAATAATTTTTTGTAAACAAACAACAATTAAAAAAACTCCTTGTTATTGTTCTTAGGTTTCACAGATAAATACATTTGTCAGGTCATAGGACTAAGAACAATGACATCTAATAAAAAAATTTCATATTTTGCGTTAAATAGCACAAAATATTTTTGTTTTTGTAGGAAATTGCTTAAATTTTAAATTAGTTTAATAAATATAATAATACCAATATATGTTATGGATTCAATAACAAATAAAAACATTTTAAAAAAAACCTTAAACTGTATTTCGTACATTTTTCAATTTAATTTTTTTATGAAAAGAATAAGAAATAGTTTTGTTTGTGAAAAATAATTCAAATATGCAGAAGAGTGATAAACGGTAGAGCATGGGTAGCTGCTCTGCGGCTCCTGCCGTTTAAAAAGGAACAAAGTGGCGGAAGCTAACGACAGAACTTTTCAAACTTGGCGGTGAAGAGCCGACAAGGTGCATGCATCAGCTACTTTGGAGAATATGGTCGGACGAGAGCATGCTCTACTATTGGAATATAAGTGTG